GGCCTGCTAGGTTATCCAACAGTTAAGGAGCCTGTATTAGCCTCTTTGTTTTTAATCAAGCAAATATATATTATTTAACTTTCCTTTGCCTTTCAGGTAACCAAGCTGCCATTATCGTAATGAACTTTTCATCTGCCCCCCCCCGGAAAACTCATATATTCCGCTTTACTTTCCGCGCAAAGACATTTCCTGGGCCTTGTTTTAATATTCGGCTTTCGTTTTTGCTCACCCAGCTGAGCCGGCAAATACAGTATTTAATTTAAATGCCGACCATAAATGTTCAAATATTTTTTAAAGCGAAATTTATTACAATATGCAAACTTTGTCATACAAACAATTCAGGGAAATTGAGGCCAGGACACAATCCAGCCGAGGCAGCGAGTAGCAGGAGAGCAAACACTCCGAAGGAGCCAGCGCTCTCATAAAATCCAACACCAAAGCAGTCCGGAGAATCGAAGGGAGGACCGAGGGGGACGAATGCATGTCTTATCACCGTGGAATGGTATTTGGACTCACGTGGCAGGGGCCGAGGGCTCAAAGAATGCTTATAGGAAAATGCAACATAAAATACTTTTTAAATGTGAATAAATATTTGGCAGGAGGAGCAGCACGGAGCAACGCAGAGAAATACCATCAAAAGTGCGGGAGCAGAGCAGCCCAGTTTATGGCGATGCAAATGGAAACGGAAAGTGAAAATTTATATGTTAAAAGGTTAACATTCACCAAAGACCAAATTTATCCTCCATCCAGGCATAAGTGGCAGAAGATATATGAAATGGGGTGAAAAATTACCAGCAGTAAAACACTCAATATTAACCAGACAGAGAGGGATCCTTTTAATACACAATTGCACCACACAGAGAACAAATTTATATCAAATTGGTTTTATTACAAATAATAATAAAAGTATATACCTATATATTTTTTTAATAAAGTTTGGTAACCAAAGCTCAAAACAATTTCTTTCACCTTTTAAAGTTATATTTATTATTCAAAATTGTTAAGAGGAACTTTATAGTTTCATGGAGTTAGCATTTTGATATTTTTTATACGGGATACAATTTAGTAAGTATTTTCTATACAATTTTAACTATTGAAACAATGTATAGCAGCTTCTACAACGAACTTTTAATGAACCATAAAAGCCCTTTATTTGCATACACCACCCACACTACATCACTTCCACTTGATATAACTTTAACACCTCTGATATTTCATGCGTTTATGAATATTCGTAAACTCGACTAATTAGAGACGTAAACATTTGTGTGCCGAGAATCGTGCCCAATTAAATGTAGCCCTGACTCCGATTCTGAGGGCAATATAAAACTGAAAAATAATGAGCAAAATCCAGCTCGTAATAAGAATGCAATAAATGGGGAAATGTGCCTGAAAATAGCCCCAATCTACTGGGGTTCTTCGAATTTACGAATTTACGCGTCCACACAGGACCCATTCGAGTGGCGAGCGTGGCAAGCATTCGCAATTGCTTCTGCAATTGTCCTGTCCCCAGTTTGTTTATTTTGCCTTTGCCATTGCCGTTGCCTTGGGGCGTGTTAATTTTCGAAGGGGATTCCCCGTTCTCTCTGCTGATTAGCATGCATGTGTGTGAGACGCCGAGCAAAAGTTTTCGGGGTCGGAGGGTCCTAGTAAACACTGGCTAAACAATTTAATTAATAAAAATATGCAAATTTAATTAGAGAGAGCACCCGGGGAGCCCCCGCGAGCTTGCTTGTTAAGAAACATTTTGTTGGCCAAAAAGTTTTCTAAGCCATTTTGCGGGCATTATGTAAACATTTCGAGACATAAGCCCTTTTTTATCCACGCTCAAGTGAATTTTTAAAGCCTTTTTGTCTAAGCATTTTTTAATTGTTGCCCAGTTGAGGTAAACTTTCAATGCCGCCTCCTTACATGAATTAATTGAGTATGCAAAGCTCCCGCATCCAAGTATTTTCACAGGCCCCAAGATGAAAAGGAAACAACAGGATAAGATAGGACAAGATATAAAGATGGAAAAAATGTGATAGCAAATCCAAAGACCCAAATCAACTGGCCTTTTCTCTCCCGCTCTGTCTCTTGTGATTCTCCGCTCCGCTTGTTTTGTTTCCCTTTTTTTGGTAAATTTAAAGAAAACAAGGATTTCCCACAAATTGTCGCAGTCGAAGGAGCATTTCGTAAACAACCGGCGGGCAGAGCATTAAATTAAGTAGTGCTTTCGACGCCTTCCATTTCATTCGGAGCACCTGAGCGAGAGAATTGAATTTCCCCAGATATGTATGTCGTTGGCCCAAGAAAGTAGGCAACATAAAATGAACAAAGTGACGATAAAGGTGTTGCATAAAACAGTGGACATAAATTGTTGAAAAGGCAAGGTCCTTGGCAACGGATGATTGAAATTGTAGGCTTTAAATCCTCTCACACCTTGTCCATAAATAATTTGTATAATGTTTCATTTTGTAAACAAAGAATTGCTATTTGAAACTGGAGAACTTCATAAATAAATATTCTTTTCCATTTTTAAACACACATTTAATCATTTTTTTCTTTCTTCAAAAACAAACTACAGAAAAACTCCTACAAAGAAATAAAACAAGTAGTAAACATAATCTGATTCTTTACTGTTTTAGCTCGCAAAAAAGTCTGTAATTATTATAATGCCATAAAAAGCATACAAAAAAAGCCAGGATTACTGGCATTTATCCTGCATGTACGGGGACACTGTGCCAGGCAATCTCCCACGTTTACTTCCTCCGCAGCTAAGCGGCTTTTGCGCTGCACCACACTTAAATACATTTTTAATTTTCATCATTTTCCAATTAGTGTAGTTTTTTTGTTCCTATAAACAGCAAGTTCCACTTTATGACTAACCAAATAGGAATTTAATTGCGCATTTATTAAACATGAAATACGAGATACTCTTTGAGGCATCAAGGCCATGCTTCAATTACAATTCGATTGAATTCTGTTAAAGTTTGGATGCTCCCAGGCCAAGTCACTCGTTCGACCCACTGAGCAATTTCGGGGCCAATCAGAGTTCACAACTGTTGTTATTAATGCAGGGAAATTAATTTCAATTGCCTGTGTCTTAAGTTCAGAGAACTTTACACTCTGCAAGTTCAAAAAGAAGTTCGCGCAAAAGTTTCAGCAATTGAAGTGGCAAACCGCTATAAGGGACTCTCAATAACATTAAACTATAGGGGCGCCCCTTAATATGAGAGAGCAGAGAGTAAAGCTTTAAATGATTGCGATAATCCAAAGGACTTACTCGATCCAGGCCAAGCGGCCATAAAGCCAAGGGGACGGACAACTTCAATTTTGCAGCATAAAATAAAGATTCTGGCCGATACAACAAGGAAAAAGGTCGCCGGGGCCAAAAGGACAAAGGGGAAGCAACAAATGTCCTGGGCATAGAGCACACATCATCATCCGGGACCCGCCGCCACAATGGTCTTGGGTTCCATGTTGACTTTATGGCTTAGGCCAGCTAAGAAGCAATTTCTGAAGGGGCCAGCTCAGGGCATTTACCGAATTATAAACATATGAAAATTTGAGTCATAAAAGCATAATTAAGTTGAGATTGACTCGAAACGGTTCACATGAGCAAGCCTCAAAAATCGCCACATATGTAAGAAGATCTTTACAATGACTTAATTAAAAAAGTAACCGTTATATATTAGTTAATAAATATTTATTGAAAAATGTATCAACTCTGATCTTTTTATTTACTTATGGGCTTTTCTATTCTGTCAAATGCGACATTTGTACGCATTCATAGTAAAAAAAAAACGTTAGTGTGTTTAGTTTTAGTTTAAGTGCTAACTTATAGCTCTTTCCTAGGTCTATAATTTGTGCTGGACTTCAAGACATTAAAAAAAAAATTTAAGAATTCGTACGTGACACATACAGAAGTCACTTTCGCGGCGAGCTGTTTAAACACTGATTTCAGCGAAACGCCAAGGATTGTTTCAATGAATCAAATTTTAAATGTTCATGCGTTAATGTCCGTTTCCTGTGCTTTCAATTTCAATCAGAAATAAAGTGCAGTTTATTTTACATTTAATGTTAATCAGAGTCGCACCTGATATCTCCCACGGGACATTTTTTCACCATACTTTACATGCTGGATTTTATTTATTAAGTAAACTTGAAGAGCATATTTGCATTTGCTTTCGACAGTTTTCAAACTCAGAGTGATGTTAAAAACAAAACTCAAAGCATAATGGCTCTGGTTTAGAAATTTGTATCAAAATTTGCCCCTTTCATGAAGTTTTTCACAACAAAAAAAATTAAGAATCGTGTTTTCTCATAGTTTCATTTGAATATTTTGAAATATGTTTTAGAATACCCCAAATTCGGTCAAGTTTGATCAATTCGAATACTTTTTAATGTGACTATATTAAAAACAAAGATTTTAAGGAACTTTGAAATGTCTGCCCGTGGCTGACCTTTCTGTGGAAATATATACTTTCAATTTATTGGAAAGATTATAACATTTTAATAATTATTTTTAAAAATGTATCTTTTTAAATAAATAATTTTACTAAATAAGCTATGTATATTTGTCGTCTCACAAAAGTTTTTTGTGACAAAACTATTAATCTTCTTTTAAAAATGCAAAATTGTTTGAAATTTGACTTACCTAATTAACTCTACCTAACTCTTATCTAATTCATCTCCTAGTTATGGTAATGTTTCACTTTTGAGCATACGAATATAAAATATTTTATTTTTATAATTGCAATAAACATTACTTGCATTACATTGGAAATTGTAACCATCAGAAAATATAAAATAAATATCCTTTTTACATTTTTTAAGGATAATATTTAAAATATTTATTTAAACGTAAAAAATATTCGAAATCTATTGAAAGGGTGCCAAAAATTATGACCGATATTTTAGAGAATCATTTAAATTATATATTTTTGGTTTATTCCAATTATTTATTCAGACACCATTTCAAATGGTTTCAAATCCAGTGGGATTAGTGTTCCGCTCACCTTTTTCACAATTCACACAACACTCTCCAAAAAGACTTGTAGTTGGAGTCTCGAATATCTCACTGAAATAAAGCGCAAGCACTGAGTTCAAAAAACGTTGAAAAACGATTTTCTATATATTTTTTAGATACCGATAACGATGCTCTGGTTCGGCTGCTGCTGACTGCACGGCTTTGAGTTTGAAACGTAAGTGAAATCGGCAGCCAAGGAGACCGCGATTTATACGAGGCGAGGATACGAAAGATTTCAACGCGTTCAGGTGGGACACGGACTCGGTCCCGACCCGACTGCGAAGCCCGAAGTCTGGCGCCACCGAAGACCGCCCACAATGTAATCGACATCGACGGTTGGCGTATTTCGGTGAGGATTTTGCGCAGTCATGGACGCTTGTGGGTGCTGGCCACCCAGTCGTATACGCAACACGTGGCAAAAGGGCAGAGTCGGCAACAGCCACGGCACCCAGTCGGATACGTATTATTTGTCTATCAGTTTATTAATCATCTATTACGCACAATTATCGAATTGTTTATCGGGGCCAGCGGCCATCGATCATGCTATCAGCATCGGAATAATCAGCATCTGATTATTTTCAATTAGTTTGGCCATCCCCGGCAGCTGTCAGCCAGCAAATCCAATATAAATCCCCCCAATAAACTAGATTATTATTAATTCTACGTAGCATTATCTCATAAATGGCATTTACATATCTCTCCGCAATTTTTCCGGACCCGCTCTGACTAATCACCGAGAGATTAACGGGTCACCAATTACTATATTTTGGGTATTTTTCGCATGCTCATAATTAGTCGCTTATCACAACGATAAATAGCGTGATGATGCAATTATAAAGCTGATATGCAAATTATTATCGGGGATACCGAAATAGCTATGCTTGGTCTGTCAAAGGTAATCGAGTGGGCAGATTTCCACATTAATTTATGGGGAGTTAAAGGCAGAAAAACTATAGAAACACTAGGTAATTGGTTGGTCATAAGTATTACAGATATATGTAACTTGCAGAATGTTTGCTGAACTTGAAATAATTGTATTAAAAAACTTAAAAATGATATATCTTGATTGTCCTGTTAATCAACAAAAATAAAAACAAGCTACGATTTAATATGAAAATTTGTAATTTTCCTGCTGAAAACATCTTTTAAACATTTCATTTCTTGATTTATTTATTGATTTATTGTTGAGATTTAATAAATTGGAATTTGGGTGAATTAATATGTATCCAATAATTAATTTCCTGGATAACAAGTTAAGTTCCCTAAACCATTAACCTTCAAGTCTTTAAGGTAAAACCTTTATGTATATAAAAAGTAAGTACTTCCCATCATCGTTTGCCGCCAATCCAAGCATTATTTAACTCTCTTTTTCCGCCGACTGAAGTATATTAGAGTTTAATAATGGAAATGGCAACGGAAGTGGGAAAAATCCAAATGCGTATGTGGGGAATCCTTGCTGCTTATATCCGTGTATACATACATAACCAAAAAAAAAAACATGTTTATCTTCGCATATGTATGGATTTTATGGCACCAACAGAAAATGCGGCTAATGATAATGTGGACTGATAAAAGCTTTACAATGTTTTTGTTCTTGTTGCCGGCGACGTGTCCGGCTTGGCTATGGTTTTTGTTCTATTTTTTTCGGCGCATTCCCTGAAACGTGATTCTAATCTCTGGGGCCGCGACCTTGCCAACACAAAAAAATAACCCATGGTCAGCAGAAGGATCTCAAGTGGGAATTGGACAAGACAGCCCTGAACTTGGACATTCAGCTGTCAAAGTCACTCTAGGCCTGTAGGACTAATTAAGAGGAATTATGCAGGCAAAAAAGAACTTTCGGTTAACCCCAAACCCTCCGGTTGGTCCTCATACGAGCCCCGACCACTATTAATTCGTACGGCAGCTTTTTTACTCGTATAAAATGTTCAGCAAACGATATTGTCCATAATAACGTACACCACATATAAAAATGATTTTTTATAGTACTATAACTTTATTCTCTTAAGTTTAAAACAAAAAAATTTATTGTATTTCGACAACAACAACAATAATATTTATTTATTTTAATGTGTTATTAAAATGATAATATAAATTCGACCACTATTAATTCGTACGGTGCCAAAAGCTTAGCTTAGAATTAAAAGAAGATCCAAACAAAAGGAAACAGTGAAACATAATCACTATCTAGTCTTTTGCTGTAAACTGTTTAACAAAGCAGAATGCAAAATAAAGTGCGATTGCTGAAAATTACTCATAGTTAAGCTACAATGGCACGAGGAAAGCCAATTTGCAAGGAAATAAGAATTTTAGTTCTGAATAATTATAAAAATGGGAAAAGTTTCGGTGAAATTGCCAAGCAATTTAATCTGGCTAAGTCGTCCGTTCAGGGAATAATTAAAAAATTTAAGGAAAATGGCAATATTGAAAATAATATCGCAAAAAGAGGCCGAAAATCGGCAATAACAGCACGTGACAAAAGAGCCCTGGCGGCTATTGTAAAGGCTGATCGTCGTCAAAATTGTCGAAATATAGCATCTGAGTGGTCTGATAAAATCGGAAAAGGTGTTAAGCGAGAGTGTACGCGCTTGAAGTTGCGTGAGATCGGATATAAGTTCTATAAGGTATGCACTGTGATAGACTATGTTACATACTTAATAGATTAACTTACTCTTAGGCCAAGGAAAAACCATTGCTTACGCTTCGTCAAAAGAAGAAGCGTTTACAATGGTCACGGGAAAGGATGTCCTGGACTCAAAGGCAATGGAACACTATCATATTTAGCGATGAAGCTAAATTTGATGTAAGTGTCGGCGATGCGCGAAGGAGAGTCATCCGTACTAAAGCCTACCATAAAGACTGCCTTAAAAGAACAGTTAAGTACCCAGCCAGCATTATGGTGTGGGGTTGTATGTCTGCCAAAGGAGTGGGGCAGCTGCACTTTATTGATGGGATGGTCAACGCAGAAAAATATGTTAACATCTTAGAAGAAAGCTTTCTGCCATCAATACCAAAGCTGGCTGACTGTGGCGAATACACCTTTCAGCAGGATGGAGCATCATCTCATACTGCCAAACGAACCAAATCATGGCTGCAGAATATGAACATTGAGGTCTTAGATTGGCCATCAAATAGTCCGGACCTAAGTCCTATCGAGAATATATGGGGAATAATGAAAAGAAAACTAAAAAATGAACCTCAAAGAACCCTGTCTGAATTAAAACTTAAAATCCAAGAGGTTTGGGACTCTATTTCAAGAGAGCAATGCCAAAATTTATTAAAATCAATGCCAAATCGTTGTAAATGTGTCGTTAAGGTCAAGGGTGATGTTACCCAATATTAATATTAAAAAACAACCTAGTATTTCGTATAAAAAGTTAATATTAAACGCACCGTACGAATTAATAGTGGTCGTATTTATATCATCAGTTTAATGACACATTAAAATAAATAAACACTATTGTTGTTGTTGTCGAAGTACAATAAATTTTTTTGTTTTAAACTTAAGAGAATAAAGTTATAGTACTATAAAAAATCATTTTTATATGTGGTATACGTTATTATGGACAATATCGTTTGCTGAATATTTTATACGAGTAAAAAAGCTGCCGTACGAATTAATAGTGGTCGGGGCTCGTACATACATAATTCGTCAGAGACATCAGCAAACATCAAAGAAATTGCATTTCGCTGTACTCCCACTGGATGTTGGTTCGGAATTGAGCTGATTTATGGAAACGAACTACTATATGTATACTAAAACGCTTGCATATAAATCTGTTCCTATGAAAATTGAAATGGACTTTGTTGTAAGTATAGCCACATCCCGCTGAGCGTTGTCCGGGGCATAATGCATATTTGGTTTTTATTACCGCAAAAGGATGCCAAGGAAGGGTTGGGTCGCTGGCATCCACTTTGAGCTGCGATAACTCAGCAAGAATCTGAGCCATTTTCCGCGGATAAACATTGCCAGCAATCTGGAAAAGAGATGCAACGACCATAAGGGTTCATGCCTGATTTGAAGATATGCAGATATGGAAGTGTATATGTGAATAAATATGAATATTCATGGGCATTAATTTCAAGCTATTGGGCAATGCACAGTTTCTATACTAATTTGCATAAAATCTATGATTTTTATTGCACATTTGAATGTACAGTGTAACTATGATAAAATTACTATTTTTATTGTTATTGGTATCGATTTTATAATGACATCAGTTAGAAAATTCGATATATATTTATTTTTCTTGCGATATTTTTATATATTATAAGTTTTGATCCATCAAAGTGTTCGAAATGATGCAACCCCAAAACGCTGATAAATAAACACACATTAGATATTTATGTTCCGTACTTAAAACATTTCTTTATTACTTAAAACTGTTTGTAAAATTGCAAACGGAATAGAATAATTCGTTTGCATGTATTTCAGATATATAAAACTAAAACTAATCGAGAGGAATAGGCTTAGACAAAATTACTCATCATCTTCATCATCGTCCTCATCGTCATCTTCCTCTTCGTCATCGTCTTCCTCTTCGTCGTCATCATCATCATCTTCTCCATCTATATCGTCGTCATCTGTATCATCTCCATCCTCACCGCTTTCGTCCTCACCCGCCGCCTCCTCGGCATCCTCTTCATCGGAGTCGACTTCATCGGCCTTGGCGGCCTCACTGTTCGACTCCTTGCGCGCCTTTTTCGTGGGCACAGCGGTGTCCTCGCCATCGTTATCCTTTGGAGCAGCATCCGCTGCCAGCAGAGCCGCCTTTTCCTTCTTCAATTCGGCCTTGCGCTTCACCTGATCCGGGGTTAACTTCACGAACTCGGCATCCTTTGTCATAGCGAACCGGGAAAGTACCTCGTTAGCCTGCTTCTTCAGCTTGAGCATGCGTTGCTCCCGTGGTCCCACCACATATGGCGTGTCCGCTGGCGGAGCACACATGCTGACGTACAGCGGCAGCGCCGAAGTTCCCACAATGTCGATCTTGAGGTACAGCGACCTAATGTTGGCCAGGCCCCCGGGAAAGTGCTTCTGCAGCTGCTTGCTCACAAGAAGAATGTTCTCCGCGAGTTGTTCGGCGCTGTGCTGATGGTTGCCCACTGGAATGGACGTCAGATCGCCCTTCGCCAGCTGCCGGTAAGCGGTTCGTTTAAGAGCGCGGGCCACCTCCTCTGCTAGCTGGTCAGTCTCTAGGCTTAGACGAACAGCGTGGAGTACATTCCGCGGCTTTTGGGTGAACTAGAAAGATGGGATAAGCAGAAAGGACGGTCAGTACGCGCCGAAGATTAGGATGAAAGTGGTTGATAGACCTGCAGCTCAGTGTATATATACCTCTCGTTGAGGATTATTTATGAGTTCTTAGAATGCAGGGAATTACCCTAATTTGCAGGCAGATAACTTACCTTGCCCAGAAAGGCGGTGGCCTGGCCAGATAGGCGACCATCGCAGAGCAGGTAGTCGTAACTGTTCAGGAACTTGCGCTTGGCCTCGAAGGTGCCCATCTCGTTGCGCAGCTGGTTGAATGGTACGATGGTGAGGCGCTGCTCCACTCCCGCCTCACGGAACAAATCCTCGTAATGCTGCTTGGTTGGCTCAAAGTCAAACTTGGCACCTCTCTGCAAGTCCGGCACAATAATGGCCACGTCGTCGTCACTGCTGACCAGCGAATGCTTCAATGCCAGCTTGGCCACACGCTTGGGACAGCTGGCAATCTTGTAGCTGGCCACCTGCAGCATGTAGCGGTAGTCGGTGAAGATCGAAGTGGCCTTCTTCTTGGCTACCTCGCCTTCCACAAGCGTCTTCAGCGCCTCGCTGATCTTCGTTACATTGGCCTCGCTAACGATCTCATTGTACCTGTCCTCGTCGAAGGACTTCAGTTCAAAGGTCAGCTCGACAGGCTTCTTGGTCTTAACCGGCTCCTTGCGGACGGGCTTGCCCTTGGCGGCTGTGTTATTCTTGTTGATGCTTCTCTTTCCTTTGGGCGCCTTGGCGGGCTTGGATATCTTCTGTACTGACTTTGCCTTCTTTTGAAGCGAAGCAGCTGGCTTGGCGGGCTGCTGGGTCTTCTTAGTTAATTCCGCTGCAGCCGGTTTCTGGGACTTCTTTTCGGAAGGAACAACTGCAGCTGGCTTCTTGGCTGCGGGAGGAGCAACTGCAGCTGACTTCTTTGCTGGAGCAGCTGATTTTTTAGCTGGAGGAGCTACTGCAGGTGATTTCTTAGCTGGGGGAGGTACCGCAGCCGGCGTCTTTGCTGCGGGAGGAGTCACTGCAACTGATTTCTTAGCTGGAGCCGACTTTTTCGCTGAAGGAGCCTCGGCTTCAACGGCCTTTTTGGCCTTTTTTTCTTTTTTATCAGCAGCAGGAGCAGGAGCAGCCGTCTTGGACTTGCCTTGTTTTTTAGGCACTACTGGCGACTCGGGAGGAGCCAGGATCAGGGCCCTCTTCGCAGACTCTGTCTTTGGGGGAACAGCAGCCTTTACTTTTGACTTTTTGGTCACTGCAGGAGCCGGAGAGGGCGATTGTGCAGGGGCCAGGATAAGTGGCCGCTTGGCCGCCTTGGCTTGCTGCTTCTTCTCTGCAGCTGGTTTCGCCGCTGGCTTCTTCTGGTCCTTCTTGGGCTTCGCCTCGATTGGCTTGGAAACGTTCTTTAACTTTTTCGCGGTGGCGGCGACCGCAACGACGGCTTCTTCGGGCAGTTTCTTGGTCTTTTCCTGCTTGCCCTTCTTCTTGCCCACGCCCTCGATGCTGTTGCTCTTGGTGAGCGACTTTGGCTGTGGTTTCTGCACTTTTACCATCTTGAATTCGGCAACTAAGTGTTTTCTTTCGGGGTAAAATTAAATTTTAAATGCAACACACGCCGTAGTAAACTCTACACGTGCAAAGTTGAAAAATGTACTAAAAAATACCCCACAGCCGGCGCCAATTAGCGCCTATCCGTGGTGGGAAACTTGGCTGAAAATGCCGTTGGAATATTTTTTCTGATTAGAATTACATATTTTAACTTAATTTTATAAATAATTATTAATTTAATTCCAAATTATTAAAACATAATAAATAGAAATTACTATATTTTATAACAATTATTAATGTATTTTTGATTTCATGTTTAAGCCGGAGAATAAAAAAATATTATTAATTAGTTTATATATTACCATGTGGACTATAAATTACATTTAAACCGATGAATAATATATAAATATTACTATATTTGAAAATAAATAATTTCAGTCAGAAGTTTGCAACGCAGTGAAGGAGACCTTTCCGACCCTATAAAGTATATATATTTTAAGGTGCACCCACAAAATAATTATTTATAAATCAAGTACTTTAGTATTAGCTAATTCAATTATGCAATAATGTTCCCAAAACCTCTAGGAATATATTACAATTAACATTTGTAATATACATAATCGCATTGTATTTTAAAATAATTAATTTCTGATTTTGCGGATTTGAATCCGCCGGCCAAATGGCACACGGAAAGTTTCCGTGCGTTTCGTCTGCAAATTAACAGAAACTTAACAGAGGGAAATACGAATCCGTAAAAATTTTTCGGAAGTGAACACTAGAACAGGTCAGGGAAATCCGAATCCGAATAAATTTTGCGGAAGTGGAAACTAGAACAGGCCTGATATTCTTGATCAGCATCAACAGGGGAATCTTTCTAGATATGTCAGGAAGAAAGGGGTTACATCATTAAAATTTTTGATTTTGACAAAAAATTGAATTTTCAAAATTTTTAAATGAAGTATGCAGATTTATTAACTGTAGAAAATCTTGCACAGAACAGTTTTCCGATTTAAAATTAATGTTCTTTTGGCCGAGTTATGATATTTTTAATAAAAAAAAAACAATCAAGAAGTTTTTTAATATAAAAAATCCGATTTTATAATACAAAATAATATTTTTCTAAGTCAAGGAATCATTTCCGACCCCATAAACCATATATATTCTTGATCAGCATCAACAGGGGAATTTTTCTAGACATGTCCGGAAGAATTCGATTTTTAGGCCATTTTTGCGAATTTTGATAAGGGGTTACATCATTAAAATTAGCAAAAATGCCCAAAAATTTTGATTTCTTAAAATTTTAAATTTGGTATGCAGTTTTTTTAAATTAATAAAAACTAACACAAAACTGCTTTCCGAATTGAAATTAATGCATGTTTGGCTTAGTTATGATATATTTTAATTGTTACCTGCAAGGGTATACAAACTTTGGCTGGCCAAAGTTAGCTTTCTTTCTTGGTTTATTTTCATTTTTTATTCTTTTTTTAAAATATTACAGTACCATTTCTGTATTTATAATTCTTTAAAAACCCCAACAAGAAAACTACATACAATAATTAATACCTTCTTTCCCTCTGTTATTAAAATATTTATAAATTTACATTTATCGTATTTGCTCACATTTGTGCGGCTTACTTACAACTTCCTTTTATTTCGTCTCTATTTATATAGCAAACAGTTTATTTTAAGTAAAATAATTCTAAAAAGAGTTACATCTTGCACATTACACGTGTGCCTAATCGCCCCGCCAGGCCACCGCCGAATGTCCTTGACGCAAAGACTCACACAGTCCGCATGCCCACACACGCAGGCCACTCGCACAGGCAATTCTCGAAATGCCGGCGCATGCCAGCTCCCATGGTGCACCAAATTGGAGCCACAAGAGCTCTCCTTCGTGGGCGTGTGTGTGTGCCTGCGACCGTTTTCAAGAACGTGACTGGCGAGGCGAAAACTTGGCAAAAGGCAATTAACAGAAGGAGTCTTAATTTGTACATTTAAAGCTTGAGCTTCTTGGCGTTCGCCTTAGACGAATCCTTCTTGGGTCGCTTGTTGCTCGCTGTCGCCGCTGTTGTGTCCTGCAGCTTGTTGAAGAACGCCTTCGAGGACTTAAGAGCACCCTGGTCGTTGCTGCTCGTGTTGATCTGCAAAATATATGGTATTGTAAGCCTCAAATACCCTTTGAAATTTTATATTACTTCTTACCTTTTCAACATTGCGACTCTTGGTTATGCTCTTCAGCAGCTTGGCGTCCGCCTCCCTCTTCGTTGGCGCCTTGCCCTCCTTGGCGCGCTGCAGATCTCTCTGCTCTAGGGCCGTGTTAATGGCACGCTGCTTTTGCTTCTTCTTGCGGCGTTCGCGGTTCTTGTCTGTTCGGTCGCGTTCCGCCTTGCCCAGAGGCGCATGCTTGGGACCGCGGAACACTTCCTCGGGTGCCAGTAGCTTGGCATCGCTCACAGCCACAGGAGCCACCTCTTCCATATGCACTGCCGGCGTGTTGGTCACTATCCTGGCCTCTGGCGCCACCGGCTTGGGTGTGAAGTGGAAGTTGGAAAGGGCGTCTAGCTTGAGGAATAGCGAACGCATGGCTCTCTTGATTTCTTGATGCTCTTTGGGCTCTGGACCCGATTTATCGTCGGCATCGCGGTTGGGATCAAGCTTATCCAGTTCGCGCTGATACTGCGCCTCATAGATCTGGGACAGGGACTGTTTGGACTTCTCCTGGTCGAGAACAAGCTGCTTGCGGTACTCCTGTGGCGTGTTTACCGGCCGCACTGTGCGCTCCACATCGTCCCAGGCTTTGTCCCGTATCCGCTGCTTGATAATGTCCTCTATGGAGCGATTATCTTCCTCGGTAATCGGAGCCGTGGGTCGGGTTGTAGAGTCAAAGTCAAGAATTTCCTCAAGCAGCGAGTTTTGAGGGCGATTGGCCGCCTTCACCTCGCCCTTTAACTGCCAGGGCTTCTCGCCCAGCACCACGTCCTCGTAGTCGCGAATGCGTTGGAACAAACGGGCCTCTCTCAGTTCATTGGAGGACTTGGAGGGCGGTTCGACCGTCATTTGGTCTTCCTCTTCATGTTCTTCCTTCTCGGAGTCAGAACCTGAATCGCTGTCGCTGGCTGGTTCGATGCCACTTTTGGCCACAAACTCTTGTTCATCTATTTCGCTAGCCACCTCCTCCTGATCCTCGCCGGGCTCACCCTCCGCCAAATCAAGCTCTGCATTGTCACCATCCTCGTCTTCATCTTCGTCCTCGTCCTGTTCATTTTCACTTTCTATTTCGTTAAAGAAATCCTTTTGCTTGCCTTTGCCTTGGATGTTGGCCTGCTCCTCCAGTTCTTCATCCATATCGAAGAAATCTGCATAGTTAACATTCCCATCTTCGCTGTCATCCAGACCAAAATTCTCCGAAAAGTGATCGATGGTGTCATCTGTTTGATTGCCTCGCCGTTTGCTATCCAGCCGGCGCATCTCTTTGGCATCCTCCTGCTCTAGAAACTCATTCATCTCCTCCAGCTTGAAGAAGGTATCGTCAACTATAGAACTGCGACCCCGCTTGCTGGGCTTGCGTTTGGGCGCTATGGCTTTCTGTTTCGCTGGCCGGTCATTCTCATCATCGCTGAGATCCGATTCTTGCTCTTGATCCTCTTCTGCTGAGTCTTCGCCTTCGTCCTGCTCCTCCTCGTCTTCTTCTTCCTCGCCATCGTCCAGTTCAATGCCCAGATGCTGCTCTCGCATGGCCGTCAACTTGGCTGTGCTCTCCAGCAGCTGCTCTAACACCAACTCGTTGCGTATCTCCAGCTGCTGCCAAATTTGCTCCTCGTCCATGTGCTCCAGGACCAGCTCTGGCAGTATGTCCTTCTTGTTCGCCACATCGCCGCTGATGCTCACGATGTACGTCTGCTGGATGAGCTGCTCAATGGCCTCTATTTGGTCTGGTTGTGGCCTGCAAAAATAGTTGTTTAGAAAAGTAAAACACGTGCGCGGATGTTTGGCAAACAAACTTGAGGAAACGCTCTGGATTGCTGGTGAGCTCCTCGAAATTGTCCTCTATTTCTTTAAAGACATTCGCCTTTTTCGTCTTTTTCTTGCTTCCAATCATGTTTACAGCGATATCTTGTTTTCAATTTATAAAAAATAAGTGAAACAATTTAACGAAGCAAACAACAGAGCGGCTAGGGATGACAGTGGCTGCATGTGTTGCGCCGCGTAGAGATGGGAGCAAGTCGATCAGACAAGTTTACTATAATGCACTACAATCGACTGCCTATCGATTGCAGCTGCCATCACAAGGCACAGCTGTGAGCGGCTTCTTTGCAATTTCCAGGCGGTGTCCGTAGAATCCACATAGACTATGCCAGGCGTCTCCAATTAGAACATGGATGCAAAATTCTTCAAACTGCTCCTCCTGGGGGGCGTGGTGCGCTTCTATTTCAGCCGCACGCCGCTGGCTGCCATGATTGGCAACCGAGTGGAGTTCGCGACGCCTTTGAATTCACACAAGCGCAGTGAGTAAACAAACGGACGTCTGATGCCCATAAGTGTACATGTGTGTTATATCCTTGCAGTGCAAGAGGGCATCTTCCTGCTGCAGAGCGGCATTGATCCATACCAAGGCGATCTGGTCCACGAGACGCCGCTGATCCTCAGCGCCCTCTCCGGCTTGTTCCAAAAGTACCCGCATTTGCTGCCCGCATTCTACATTATATTGGACGTCTTTACCGCCGCCCTACTCTATCTGATGAGTCGCCGGTTTGTCCGGCAAAAGCAGGAACAGCAGACCACGGAGCAGAAGCATTATGCGAAGGATACCGCGGAGCTGCAGTTCAGCGACTTGGACAAGTACGATATTCCCGAGCTTGTGATCGTGGCGTATCTCTTCAATCCACTGACTGTGATGAACTGTATCGGCATGACTTCCACGGTGATCAGTAATTTGTTCCTGGCCTCATTTCTGTACTGCCTGGTGAAAGGTCTGCTGCTTCCCTGCCTCCTAGTTCTGGCTTTTGAAACCGTCCGCAGTTTCTACCCCATTGTGCTGATAGCTCCACTGCTCCTAGTCTTTTCCCATAATTCCATCCGCAGGGGTCTAGTCATAACACTGCTCTTCATCGCCAGCTGTTTGGGTGTGGCCTATGCCAACTTTTTGGTTCTGAATAGCTGGAACTTTTTGGACGGCACCTTGGGATTCATGTGAGTAATCAAATTTAAAAATAAATAAATGTTAAAAGATAATTAAAAATGTTTTCTTTCTGTTTTACAGCTTCTATTTCCGAGACCTGCAGCCGAATATCGGATTGTTCTGGTATTTCTTCACGGAAATGTTCGAGCACTTCCGCACCATGTTCCTGATCACATTCCAACTGAATGCCACGGTATTGTACCTACTGCCCCTCAGCATCAAGTTGCGCAAGGAGCCGCTCCTGCTGGCCACCGTCTTGGTGGCTCTCATGACCGTGTTTCGAGCATATCCCAGCTTGGGTGATGTGGGCTTTTATTTGGCACTGCTGCCGCTGTGGAAGCGTTGCTGGAAATGTGAGTATTGTGATTTCAACACTCTAAAGTTGTACTACCTAATTTTTCACTTTAGTCATGGCGCACGGCTTTGTGGTCTTCACATTCTTCCTGGTAACGCTGTCAATGATGGGAGCTCTGTGGCATTTATGGATATACGCTGGCTCTGCAAATGCCAACTTTTATTTTGGAGCCACGCTTGCCTTCTCAACGGGCCAGATATTCCTCATCACGGATCTGCTTTTCGCTCACGTTAAACGCGAGTTCTGTCTGTTCAAAGGCCAAAAGATTTGGATAGACGGCGTGGAGGCGAGAATAGTCTTGAAATGAGCCATTCTGGAATAATATCAGATGATTGAGTGGATGCAGGAACCTTGTACAGATGCAAACGCTGCTCCACGGATACATTTTTCAAGAAGGAGGCGCAGGAGCAGCAAGGCATACTCTTAACATAAGTAAACTTTAAACGATATCAGATTAAAACAAAAACTTTATTTGATCTTAATGGATGATCGAACTACTGGTGGGAATAGCCCGTCTTGGTCTTGCGGTTCAGGAACCTGTACAGGTAGAGGATGCGCTTCTCCATTTCCCTCCACTTGGTGGGTCGAGCTATAGGGTACTTGGACTTCTCCAGCAGACGGCGCTTGCGCAGCAGCACCTGGTATTCGTTGCCGGAGACACCGCGCAGCCATGATGGCAGTGAATAAAGCACCTTCACTGGATGCAGGCGGTCATTGCCCAGTATGTCAATGTAGTCGTTCTGGCCGAAAAGAGCACGCTTCTGCGACCAGGCATTCTTTGGGCGGTACACGGGCATGGGCAGTTTCTGGCCATTGTCCACATGCGGCAGCAGGCCGCTCTTGAAGATCTTGTCCTCGTATCCATAGCGGCGCACAGTGGGACCGCGTGCTCGACGCTCGGCATGGGACAAGTGCCGCACGGTCGTTGAAGTTGAGACAGTCGGAGCCAGTGTCTTGCCCCCCAGCGTCAGGAGCGAGGCTCTGCCGAGTTTCTGGATCGCACTACTCAGCCAGGACATGTTTTTTCTTAATTCTACGATTAGATAATTGTAAACACTGTCCAGATGCCGGAATTGATGGCAAAAGAAAACAGGACGGCGAAAAACAGCTGGACAAAGTCATCGATATATCGATGTAAGCTATCGAACAGGCACAGTGGGATGAAAATATATCTAGCTAATAAGTTTTTCAAGATATTTTGCCGGCTGTGGCGCCACAAAAGTTCTTAATTTTTATTGATAATTTATAAATGTTCATTTGTTCACTACTTTTGTATTTAGGAAGAGGAAAAAACGTTTATAATCTAGAAATGCTTACCTCTACCAATACACAATCGTTATCGATACGTTACATCTTCTTCAAGTCACCGCCTTCCCAACAGCTGACAGTCCAAAAAGAAATAAATTTTGATCACACTTTGTTGATTAACTTCTTCGAGGTTCAAACTGTGCAATGATCGAACTGGGTGTCGAGGAGGAGAGGACAAAGCTGAAGCGGGAGATCGCTGAACTGCGGGCGGCGCTCTACAGCAAGGAGCAGAGTCTGCTTTACCTGGATGAGATAGTGTCCGCTGCAGCTGCCCGAGGCGTAGATGAGGACGCTCCAGAGTCGCCAACCAGGACCCTGCACACCAAGTTGACCAACGATGACATTGCCCGATACAGCCGGCAGCTGATCCTGCCCGATTTCGGGGTCCAGGGACAATTGAAGCTGAAGAACAGCTCCGTGCTAATTGTGGGCATGGGCGGATTGGGCTGTCCGGCAGCCCAATATTTGGCGGCGGCAGGATGCGGCCACTTGGGGCTCGTGGACTACGACCATGTGGAACGGAGCAACTTCCACCGGCAGATCTTGCACTCGGAGACGCGGGTCGGCTGGACCAAGCCCGATTCGGCAAGGTTCGCTCTGCTAGAGCTGAATCCGCACTGTGAGATCCGCAGTCATGTCAGGCTACTGAACAGATTCAATGCCCTCAACATCATCCGCTCCTACGACGTGGTCCTGGACTGCAGTGACAATGTGGCCACTCGTTATCTGCTTAGCGACGCCTGCGTAATGCTACAGAAGCCCCTCGTCTCCGGCAGTGCCCTCAAGATGGACGGACAACTGACCGTCTACAACTATGCGAATGGTCCCTGCTACCGGTGTCTTTATCCAGTGCCGCCGCCCAAGGAATCGGTCACCAATTGTGGCGACGGCGGAGTCTTGGGCGCTGTAACTGGAACCATAGGAGCCATGCAGGCACTGGAGGCTATCAAGGTGATTGTGGGCCTGGGCGATGTCCTTGCCGGTCGACTGCTGATCTTCGATGGCAGCACAAGCCTGTTCCGCAACATTCGCATCCGCAACAAGCGGCCCAACTGTCACGTCTGCTCCGCACAACCACTAATCACGCAGCTGATCGACTACGAAATGTTCTGCGGAATGCGAGCGAACGACAAGGACGCTGAGCAAAATTTGCTCTCCGTAGGGGACCGCTTGAAAGTCAAGGAGTACCAGGAGCAACTGCAGACACAGCAACATCTGTTGATCGATGTTCGACCGCCGGCTGAATTCGAGATCTGTCAGCTGCCCGGAGCTGTAAACGTGCCTCTGGCCGAAATCCTTGACGATAGCTACATAAAGCGCTTTGGCAGCCAGCTAGAGGACAAGGATCTGCCCATTATCTTGCTGTGCAGGCGGGGCAACGACTCTCAGATTGCTGTTCAGCATGTGCGCAGTCGATTCCCCAAGCATTCCATACGGGACTTGATTGGTGGACTGCATGCCTGGACGAACACAGTGGACCCTAGTTTTCCCATATATTAAACCAATAAAAAAAAGTTGAAAGTATATGGAGCTTCTTATTGATTTTTAAGATAATTATCCTTGAAGAAGGTTTTCTAATTAAAAGTAGTTAGTCAATATTGAGTGCTAAAACTTAGGAAAGCCACCTGTATTATCATCTGCAAGCCCCCTCTCTCGTACTAGGAAATTTACTTAATTATCAGCAATTAAAGAAACAACGTAAAGAACATATTAGAGGGTGGAAAACCCCTATAAATCTGTTCAAAATAATATTCGCCATTTCAAACAGGTAGAGGCTATCGTTTTCCAACAATTCTGTTTTGTTAAGCACCAGCGGCACCGGACACAACAGCTGAGTGCCATTCGAGCCGAGCAGGCAAAGAAAAAAAAAACAATTATACAGAGCCAGGTAGATTGGCGGGCAGGTGTAAGACTTCGCCGAACGCACACACCTTTGATTGTGGGACTGTGGAAGCAGTAAGCGAATGGTATCGATATGAATAGTGCTGTCAGCTTGGCTGTTTATCCATTTTTTTTTTGCTCAGAAGTGAACAATAATTACTATAATTTAAAATAAAAACAAACTTAATTAAGTTCTTAAATAAAATAAATATTGTATAATGTTCCCTTTAAAGACAAAAAAAAACATATTTTAAAATTATTTCTACTTATTTATGAATAGTTTTGTATTTAATGTAGAATATAATTTAGAAATAAACACTCGAAATCACAAATGGACCGATTAGTTATTAAATATTTTAATAGTTAATAATAATTTAATAATTAATTAATATTTTTCGGGCATTTCCCAGATATTTTTCCTTTATATTATGTCAGCACTGTGTGCACTGTTTACGTGTGGTGACTATATAAAAGCAGTTCTCTCCAGCATCTAGTACTAGTTGAGCTCGAGCAGTCAAAGCAATCTGTGCGGGATTTGTTTGCGTCTGAGTTTTGTGTTTTCAAATAATTTAAATTCAAAAAGCAAAGAAAAAGCAGGCGGCGGGCTGATAATAGCAGTTGGAGCTGGGGAAAAGTCGGAGGAGCAGGAGTTGTGGAAGCAGTCCAAGAATGGGAATGCTAGATAACAGAGGGTTCCTGGCCCTGTGGCTAGTGCTGATGTTGTGGGTAAGAAGGGGCTGCCGATTCCACAGCAAATTCAATTTAGCTTCTGCATATATGTATTTCTATATTTAAATATTGTTTGTTTCCCAGCTGCCCCACGGGCTTTCAATGGGCAATAGCTGTTCAGCTTCAGTGCTGGAGTCCCGTCGTTTCTTCGAGCTGGAGAATGAGCAGTTGAGGAAGCGCTACCATGAGGAGTTCCTCTCCGGCTACACCTACAATACCAATGTCACGGAGGCCAATCGCCAGGCTATGATTGAGGTGTATGCCCGCAATGCTGAGCTCAACAAGCGTTTGGCCCAGCGGATCAAGGCCTCCGATTACATGGAGTCCGAGGATGACAATATCCGCCGCCAGGCCACGCATCTTTCCAAGCTGGGCGCCTCTGCGCTTAATCCCGACGACTTTTTGGCCCTGCAGAATGCCATCAGTTCAATGCAATCGAACTATGCCACCACCACGGTCTGTTCTTATACCAATCAAAGCGACTGTTCCTGCGCCTTGGAGCCGTGCATCCAGGAGCGTTTGTCCAATAGCCGGGACCCGGCCGAGCTGGCCTGGTACTGGCGGGAGTGGTACGACAAGGCTGGAACTCCTATGCGGGACCACTTTGCCGAGTACGTGCGCTTGACGCGTAAGGCGGCCCATTTGAACGGTGAGTGGTAATCCGATAACCTCGTTGTCTGACCCTTAGAACGGGGAAACGGGGGAAAACGTCTGGCATGCACGGGAAGAAAATGTAAGCCAATTGGGTCGTCAGTGCTAAAGTTCTTCTTGTGTCTGTAAAGGAAACAAAGGGAAAATATAGTTATTCAGACAGATATCTTAGTTAGGAACACTTGTTTCTGTGAAACATAAATTAAAAACAATTTTATAAAATTTTTAAAGTAAAAACAATTAAACATTTATCATATATAATACATTAAAGTATTAATTTTACAAATTATTTAGGTCATGCAAGACCTAATTCCCCTTTTTTTTAATTTTTAAGTTAGTTTACATCTTTATAAATCTTTGAAAATCCGGAACTTATTGTTTTTTTCCGTGTTAAGCTTATCTGTCAAAACCTCATTTTAATTCTAAGAATATATAATTATCAATTTAATGATGTAATATTATTTATATTCTTTGACAATCATAACAGATCATCGTTCATATGCCGATTACTGGGTGCAGTTCTACGAGGATGCCGACTTCGAGCGCCAACTCGACGCCACATTCAAGCAACTGCTGCCTTTCTACAGGCAGATCCATGGATATGTGCGCTATCGCCTGCGCCAGCACTATGGTCCGGATGTGATGAAGGCGGACGGAAATATACCCATAAGCCTGCTGGGCAATATGTGGGGCCAGTCATGGACCGAAGTCATCGACTTGTTCACACCCTTTCCGGAGAAGCCATTCGTGGACGTAAAGGCTGAGATGGAGCGTCAAGGATACACAGTGCAGAAGCTCTTCGAGCTGGGAGATCAGTTCTTCCAGTCGCTCGGATTGCGCGCCCTACCGCCCACCTTCTGGAATCTGAGTGTACTTACCCGGCCCGAGGATCGCCAGGTGGTGTGCCATGCGTCTGCCTGGGACTTTTATCAGGACAGCGATGTGAGAATCAAGATGTGCACCGAGGTGGACACCCACTACTTCTATGTGGTGCATCACGAGCTGGGACACATCCAGTACTATCTGCAGTACGAACAGCAACCGGCTGTCTACCGAGGCGCTCCCAATCCAGGCTTCCATGAGGCTGTGGGCGATGTTATTGCCCTGTCGGTGATGTCCGCCAAGCACCTGAAGACCATTGGACTGATTGATAATGCCAAGCTGGACGAGAAGAGCCGCATTAACCAGCTTTTCAAGCAGGCCATCTCCAAGATTGTCTTTCTGCCCTTTGGCTATGCCGTGGATAAGTATCGCTATGCTGTGTTCCGCAACGAGCTGGAGGAATCTCAATGGAACTGCGGCTTTTGGCAGATGCGTTCCGAGTTCGGTGGCGTGGAGCCCCCAGTTTCCCGCACCGAGAAGGACTTTGATCCACCGGCCAAGTACCATATTGACGCCGATGTGGAGTATCTGCGCTACTTCGCCGCCCACATCTTCCAGTTTCAGTTCCACAAGGCTCTGTGCCGCCTGGCCGGTCAATATGAGCCCCAAAATAGCCAGTTGACATTGGATAACTGCGACATCTATAACAGCAAGGCGGCCGGGCGAGCACTACACGAGTTCCTCTCGAAGGGCAGCTCCCGTCACTGGAAGGAGGTGCTGCAGGAGTTCACCGGCGAAACGGAAATGGATGCAGCCGCTCTCCTGGAGTACTTTGATCCGCTCTATCAGTGGCTTAAGCAGGAGAATAGTCGGCTAGGAGTACCACTTGGTTGGGGACCCACGGACAGTGAGTAATCTAGGAATATAACACCCGCTCAGGGATACAAAAAGCAAACTTACAAAGGTTTCCTTTCTGTCCTAAGTGGTTTTTGTAGCTCCTTTTTGAGTGAGTCACAAAACCCTGTTAAAAATGTACACTTTTCTTTCAGAAATCCCCTCGGACTGCTGCGGAACTTTCAGCACTTAGGCCTTAACTTTCCAGACCCTGACGTTGGGTTCTGTGAGGAACCCAAAAGAAAAATGTATATTTAGTTTGACATCAAATAGGACAGAAAATAAAGGACTATTGAAAAAGTTGTAAATAATTCATAATTGCGAAATGATATTTTAAATTGATATTTATTGTATCGATTCATTCGTATCGCTATCGCTTCTTTCGTTTCATTAATCAATTTGCCATTACATAATACATGCTTTTATAACGATTTAATCCATTATCATTTTCCATCAAAACCGAGAAATATATAAATTAATTTGTTCATTAATTGTATTTCTATCTCAATTTCGAATTAAACTGTGTTACAATTGAACAGTCCCACACAAAAGTTGTATACATTGTTTTTGCGGTCAGTGTAAATTTTCGATATCTTGCTTGCATTTATTTTTTGTACACAGCAAAAGCTTTCAAAAGTTCATCTCAAATGCGCAATATTTGATGAGTTTGCAGCTGGTCGCCAAGGCTTTGAATAACTTGGGGGGAATATGACTGGTAATCATCCAAAATAAAGCATAAAATATGTTTTTTTATTGTGTGTTTTTAGGAATAAAATCACAATTAAATGATGTATTATGAAGGAACACAAGTTAAATAAAAGTAAAATCGGTTCGATCTGACATATTTCAAGGCAAGTCATTCAAAGCCTTTGTTTTTTCGGGTGCTTGTGCTGCATATATTGTTCTTATATCGATGTTTCAGTGAACTGGTTTGTTGTTGATATCAAATTCCAGAGATTTTGATTTTTAGTCTTGTTTTTAAAATGCAAAATAAGGATTTTGTGAATTACGAACGTGTGTGGATTTCAGATACAATCGTTATAGATTATTCATTTAAATTTCGAGAGAACAATATATAAGGAAAGAAAGAAAGCATTCTAAGAACTAACAATAAATATTTGGAAATTGTTTAATTTAATTGTATTTTTTTTGATTAGGTAATATATGTAAATCCTGTTTCATTTCGCAATCTCCTCCCTTACTTTGCGTGTGATATGGGAAAATACTCGATGGCATTTACTCAGCGTTTCGTTCAATTATCGTTTTGTTTATATATGTGGTAAAAATTGTATATGTTGTTTAGTATATAAATATTACTTATAATACGTTCCAAAGCTATAAGCTAGAGGCCAGTGGGTTTAGTCATTTCAATGAGATTTTATGTTAATCCAATAAGGAATCGATAGGCCCTATAAATAGGCCTCTTCCACAGACTTACAGCTCTGCCACGCATTATACAATTGCTCGGGGGAATTGCTCCAATACTTGAGCTTTACATATATATGCCTAGAGATGTAGGAGTGTTAATGATAGGATTATTGGACTAACAGTAAGATCAGCTAGTGTTTTTCTTTGAGATACAGATAAATGTTCCTATAATAATATATGTTTTTCCATTCCATCTCTCACTTAACAGGGGCTACAAAATCAAACCAGATATATCATAGGCCAAGAGTTTAGTTTTGGTTAGTGCTACGTGGTTTAGTATTTTTGTTTTGTTGGATAGTGTATATTGGCATTCTAACAAATCATATCAGAGAGTCAACGCAAATTATGGAACTAGATCTATGTACTCGATGCGGAATCTCAAGCATTTGAAGTTTTCAATTTTAAATATACGTTTATGCAATTTGAGTAATACATACGATGCATAATAAGGATCTTATCCTTTACTACTTAGCGATTATTACTGAATACAAATACAATCATGTGTTTATCATTTAATATTAAACGTGAAAGTGAGTGGGTTCGCTTACACTCTAAAGACATTTTCATCTTTTTGTTTCGCAAAAAAACATTTATAAACAGAGTTTTGTGTGTTTCTTCATATGTTTCGTGGTTTTGTTTGGATATCTCAAGAACATAATGGAGGAGCATGGCAAGCTTTTCGAGATGAGAGTTGGTGGTTGGTGGATTGTATGTGTGGTATGTGTGGTGTGTGATCGTTCTGCACTTGAATTTGAATTGACTCTTGGAGAAATGTCGTCTAATTGACCCTTTCCGAAGTGTTGGCAGCGACTGCTTTGTGTTCTTGGACCTTGGTTTAGTCCAAGAACGGGTTTTGTCATACGGGTCGCGAATGGTGGGCATGTGGATAGGGATGTTGTTGTTGTTGTTGGTGCTGATGAGACTGCGTTACACTGCTACTGATGCTATGGTTGCTGCTGCTGGTGCTTGCTCCGCCCCCGCCGCCGCCACCGCCACTATTCCCGCCCCCCTTGGGCCGTGTGGGAGGCGGCGGTGGTGGTGCCTGTCTCATGCGCTGTTGCAGTATCCTCGGCAGTTGCGGATGTGCCTTGTGCTGGGCTGGTGGTGCGGGTGGTGGCGCCGGCCTCTGATGATAGTGAGATGCCTGCTGCTGCTGCTGTTGTTGCAGTTGCTGCTGCTGTTGCAGTTGCTGATGTTTCCCCATCGACGAGGCAGCCGAGGAGGATCCGGAAGCTCCCGAAGTGGAGCTGGTCGAGGCATGAGATGTGGTAGATCCTGTGGCTAATTTGGTGGGCAGACCGCCGCTGGCTGCCGGCGAGGCCATGGCTCTGGAGTTAACGACACCTACGCTTCCACCTCCGCCTCCTGAGGCATCTGTCATCTTGGGCAACGCCACTGGCGCATAGGAGCCATCGTCCTCTTCATCGGAGGACAACGAATTCGCATCCGATGGTGTTCTTGACCTTGATGGAGGCGACATGGCATCCTGCTCCTGCAGGAACACCCGGAATCCCTGTATTGACTCATTTAACGCCCACAGCTGCGACAAGAGCGACAGATCCAACTGCCTCAGGCCATACATCTCCCGCCGCAAGATGGCCAACTGGTTGTCGATGGTTGAGGAGGTGGCGCCGGTGCTGCTTGAGCTGTTGGTTGGCGTATGCCCGGCTCCAGCGCTGTGTGTGGAGGAGGCTCGACTGTGTACGGACTCCCTGTCGCTGAGCGACTCCTGCGTGGACGACAGACTGCCGTGCCGCTGGCTGTGACCGTGACCATTGTAGCTGCGATTCCTAGCCGCCTGGGAAGAGGTGGAGGGGCCCAGATAGAGTTCGCCGGCAGCTGCGGTCAGAGCGGCCACGCTGACGGACGCCGGCGACGCAGTGCGGGGCATCATCAGTGGAGTAACAGCAACAGGCGGAGACGCTACTGAGGAAGCAGCGGCGGCGGCGCTCAGGCTTTTTGGCAGTGGGGGCAGACCCGCCGGCAGGTGCGGCTGGGTATCACTGTGCTCCATTCTCATTCGCGACAACTGGACAATGTTTACTTGGTTTCTGCTGCTGCTAATTTTATCGATTATGCTAGGACGTTGGTTGGTTGGTGTTTAATGTATGTTGAACTTCCAGCTCTGGCGGCACATGGGACACTGTTTGTTCAACGGTTGCAGGTTCAGCCACTTGACGATGCAGTGCATGTGGAAGCAATGGGAGCAGACACCCCACACCAGCGGGCAGTCGTCACCGGGCAGCGCGCACTCCGGGCAGGTGCTCTCGAAGGACATGCGACAAATTCCGCAGTTCTCGTCATTCGCTATCCAACGCCAAGTTGCAACTCCCGTCCATGACTTGATTGTCACTTTCATTTTGCGCACATTTGCTTACACTACGATTGCTCCTCTCGCCGTCGTCGTCCCTTTGCGTTGCATAGAAATAGTCGCTTACTTCGATTAGCTGCTTTTTCCGGGGCTCCTCAGTCGCTTTTTCGCAAAATATTGCCTTTTTTCTTGAGATTGCTGCTACTGAAAATAGGTCGAGCGTAGTGGTGGCCGAAACGGTGACTGCGCCTATCGATAGAGCGGAGCGTTGGAGATGGCACTCTATGTGAGTGTGTGGTGCGATAGTTGCTATTTGTCAAGCGATATTTTTTAAATTTGTAAAATTACGGTTGCAGTAATGTGGCTTTTAAAGGTCGGATAGTAATAGAAATTATCTTAAATATCTTTTACACAATTTACAAGGGTTTATTTTATTAGGGAAAATTATAACTCGATATTATATCTAATTTTAGAGACTAGTAAAAATATATTGCTGATATTCTCATTGAAAAGAAAACGCAAGCTTAAATATTTGTAACTGTTTTTAAGTAATATCAGAATTTGTTTTTAAGGGAAATTTGCCAAATATCGATAGCTAATTTGTCGATAATTATCGGTCTTTGGCGGACGAAATTTGAAGCTGAAGAGTACATAACGAGTATAAATGTTTAAAAAGTCACAATAATCAAATTAATATTTAATAATAAAATAATAATCTCAAAAAATATGTCCATATTATGTAATTTCCAACTTGAGCAGTTAGAAAATCTTCTTCCTTAAATATAAGAAGCATAAGAATAAAACGTGCACAAGAAAATCTATAAATATTTTAATACATAATACAAAATTGCATTATATTATATTTTATTATATTTTGAATAAAATTCTATAATAACCAAGACCTTTAACTGTTAAATAAGGTAATTAACTTAATAGATGGGTTATTATTTAATTTGGAAAAACTAGATTTTAAAGAGGTCTTAATATTATATTTCCATAAATTAAACTTTTTACAATACTGATTTTACGGTTTAAGGATAAGATTTAAAAATCTTAGTCTTTTATGTGCTTTCCTGCTTTTGCACAACTTTAAGAAATATGTACATATCCACATTTTTCAATTTACAAATTGATTTTCAATATCATGGCCATAGTTCGAGAGCCATCAATATAAATTTTCGGTAATCGCCAGGGACAGGTCGGCGGTGCTCAGGTCAGATCGTTGGAGAGCACAAATGCGAACCGAACGTCACGTGTACTTCCGAGCCCCAAACCGAGGGCTTTATGCTCATGCTCCAGCGGATTTGCGCGGCGCTCTTGGTGCTCCCCAGCGTTGTTGGGGCTTGGAGTTGCTGTCTCCGGTTTATTCGCTTTCAGTCAGCCGACGATTGTTCAACCCGTCAGACGTGCGCCTATGCTCCGATCCGCAGAGCTTCACTCGGTTTGGGTCAGTTTCGCGTTTTCGAAGCGTGTGATCACGCCAAATTGTGTTTCGTGTTGTGACGCAGTTTAAGCATCGGTTCTAATTAATCAAGGAATTAAAGTTTGAATAAAAGTCAATATTAAACTTGAGAATAAGCTGCTCCAAAAGTATTACTGTGAAGTGAGTGCAAATAAATCAAAATACAACAGATATTCGTGCGTTGGCCAGAACCTGTAATTAAAAACGCACTTGAATAAACCAATACAGGCATAAATGAAAAGTGAAAAATAAAAATAAGCCAATAATAAACTGTGCAACACGTTGTTGACCCTGAGGCAGAGCCGCGTGATTTTCCAAGAACAACTAAAGGCGAAGGCAATTTTTTAGCATAAGAATTTATGTTGTTTGCAGTTTATTGCACTCTCGTCTCTCTCTCTGTCTCTCAGGCGTCTCACTTCGGAGATGGAAAAAACCGTTTAATGCCTTGCAAGGAGGTTCCGGTTTTTGGTCCGTCCCGGGATTTTCTCGAATTCTGCGAAATACAAACTGACACTCACATATGTAATGCATCTAAAAAAAAAAAATAAAACCAAATGTGTGTTGTGCCCGCTTTCATTACAAACGTAATGCGAAATTTCATTTCGATATTTGCGATCTATTTTCACTTTGATTTGTCTCGCCTTGTCATGTGTCTCACGTCCATAAAATGTTTGCTCATAAACAAACAATTATGAAAGACGGGATTTTTCAAACGCAGACAATTTAACACTTCATCACTGTTCTCAAAAGCGAAAATAAACAATTTACAATCAAATAAATCTTTGTACTTGGGAATTTTAAACCACTTGTGCTTGATGCTGCAAAGCCAGAGGTGGTATGTTTTTAATGCTACAACTATGGGTTGCAAAGTAAATAATAAAAAGTAATATAAATAAAACGTACTTTACTTGTCTTAGTTTTTAGTAAACGTTAATTTAATTGAATTGAATCAAACATTTTAGAAACAATGAAATATATTTCCAAAAGCTTCAAGATCCCCGGACTCATAAATATTAGTAAGCCCCACAATTGCTTCTTGCTTATCATGCCGTTCGACACAATTTTGATTGATTACCCAAATCCCAGCGTTTAGACATCTACTATCGTTAACATTCCAAAACCTCTTTTCGTCATATCTTATCTGTTATATCGTAAACACACACAAAATATTATTATACTATATTCATATTTATACCTACATATATGGTATGTATATGTATAGTAACACCATAAGCTCTAAAACCTAGATTTCGTCACAGGCCTTTTGAAATCGAATTACTGCATTAGCTTTCTGATGGCGAAATATTTAATGACAACTGTCTGCAACTTGCATTATCAATAAAGTCCCCGAGACGGGCAATCTGACTACATACTCCTAAGTATCTTTAGTGCTTGCGCGCTATATAGCCATGAACAATCAAGTGATTACTGATAAAATTGAAGCTAAAATGTTCGGACAAACAAAATACTTGGCAGCGGGATTTCACTGAGATACAGATGTGCGTATATACACCAGAGTGTATTTTAAGGAAGCGTCTTAAACGGGGGAGACGTGTGTAGCATTAATGATTCAAATAAAAATTACTTATGAGACAGACACACACCAGTGACTCACCTCAGTGACCACCTGAGAGAGAACCCGCCGAGATGTATTAACGCGGAACTGAAAAGATCGCGAAATGAGAATGGAAACCGATTAAAGTGAGTTGAGCGAGGATCGCCAACATCGCCTACATAAATTGCATTCATTCATAAAACAAAAAACAAAAGGAATTTAATGTCATGGGAATATATCTGTGTAATTCTAGAGAACCGATCAGGCCTTTTTTACTTTTCCGCTTTATTTTCAAGGCTTTTCCCGCGAACTTCAATTAAGGGGTAAACACTTTAAGGGAACCTTTGTTACTAATGGCAGCCATTATCTCGCTGCAGCTTGAAAAATGCTACTGCGTAGAGCGTTCTCATCAGGTATTTAATTGATTACGGTAAAGGTTGTGTATCAACAAGGTAATAACGTCAATATCAATGAGAACCTTTGAGTATTTTCTGAAATTATTGCCCTGAAGGTTTTCTTATAAGCCATTCATAAATATGACTTCGCTTATGCTTTCCGAAAAATAGTACAATTGAATTCGTAATTAAAAAATTAAAAAAATGTTACCACAATTAAAGGAGTATTTTCAAAATGTTTTTATTTAAATTAAATTAAATTAAGGAAATTCCCACCAAATTTTAAAGGTAATTTTCAAGTGAATAAATCACTTTACTTTCCTTGCTTAAATTCAAATTTCTTCAACTTCCTTTTTAAAGTCAATAGATAACTTATATGATAGAAAATAAATCTCTTTCGAATTAAAAATGATTAATACAAGTCATCATTTTGTTATTGATATCAAAACAGAAAGTCGGACTCCGACGAACACGATTTGAAAATATTTGTGAACACATTACGCTATAGATACTAATTTATAAGATCAACATTAAGCACAGCGCGCGCTCTAAAAAAAAAATATAAAAAATAATTAAAAGTATTCGAGAACAAATTTGCAAGTGCAAAAACATAAAAAAAAATCTCAAAGGGGGAGGAGACTCGCTGCCAAGAGAAACTCGATTGCAATGCCAAACCAACTCGATCGAAATACAAGCCACTCGCTGATGCCTGATGCCTGTCAAAGCCTAAAAAACTGAAAAAACTGAATCGAGGCCAATGCACGCCACTTGTCGTCTGGGACTTTTAGTTTGCCATGAACCAAACGCGGCATTATATACATTATACATATATACATACAAGCCCCAAGCCTGGCTGCGGTTAATGACACCTGCCATCGATCTTTCGATCTTTCTGGGCAGTTACAAAGGCAAAACTCCGCGTCGCCAGATGCGTGTGAACGATTTCATTTGCGGGTTATTGTAATTTACACGTTATGTTTAAATCAAAAATCCACAACAAATAAGCATCTGTTGGTTTTCTGGGCGGGGTAACTAAACATTTACAATTTGAGAGAAATAAGCTCAAGCATTTATAAATCAGATTAAGATATACACTAAGTGATTGTAAGGGTTTATTTATTGTAACGAATTTTCACACGTCCAAAGGTTTGGAAAGTTTTGGGAATCGATTCGAGAAATGAATGAAAGATATTATTTGAAATGAATCATTACTTGTGTGTAATAAAACAAATAAAATTTTTATTATTATACTTAATTAAAACACAAATAATTCAAAATCTATAAATATATATTATTAGAATTTCCCCTAGTGAAGTAATATCTTTCCCTAGAACCCGGTACTTAGCCATAGATATTCCTCACTTCGTTCATCTTTATTTTATATATTCAACAGATTATTTTAGCTTAGTCAATACCTCGAACAATGTCGGGCTCAATTAATTGGAGTGGGGAAACTCAATTTGAATTTAAACTTAGCGAGCTAACGATAAAATGGAATAATAAATAATATAATCTAGCGGATACAATACAAGTTTCTCTTCTCCCTGCAATGCAAGCTAAAGTTTACTTTTTTTGTTGTAGCTTTTGAACTTTTCGGTGATTTTCCAGTGAGAGATTCTAGATAATGCTCATTTCGCAGTTTATTATATTGTATATATGTATGTATATGTATATATGGATATTTTTTATGACCAGAAAACTCGTTCTGTTGTCGTAAAAGTGTTTTATATGGGCGGAGAAGGGGGTCTGATGCCTCTGACAGGCATATAAAAAGTTAATAAAGTGAAAACCATAAGATGCTAAGATAGTTATTGCACAGGAGGCATGACAACTTTCAAGTTTTTAAAAGATTTACAAAGTTAGATTAAAAATTAAAAGGATCAAATTAATATTGAGTTTGCTTTACTTCAAATCAAACGATTTCAGAAAGCCCTGTTTGGTTATAATTACCTTTTGGGGGTATATGAAAAACAAGGTAGTATGCATATAAATTTCAGTTTCGTTTTTATTGCTTTTTTATTTAAAGAATTCACCGCATTGCATGCATCGCTTGAGTGACTCGTGAAATTATATATTGTAATCCGAATGTTATTGTTCGCGATTTTGGCTTTGTATTTGTTTTTTTTTTTTACGTCGTACGGAAGTTATTCGGCCGCAAATTTTTACCTGTGGCATGCGATTTAATTTGTTGTCAAATCAGCGGCCAAAGCCGATTGTGACCAGTTCAAAGGTCAGCTTGAAAACGACAAACCATAAATGCTGAATGATATGGCACATTTACTTGAACGAAATTTATATCTTAAAGTTTTCACAGACCATTAAAAATGTTAAGCAAGCAATCACGTTAGCTGAACACTTTTTATAATTATTTTTTTTTTCCAACAATTAATGACACCGCTTGGGGAAGATATACAATTGTGGGGAAGCCCGTCTGGACTAAGTAATATTTTCTTTAAAAATGATTCTTTTAGAAGCTTTAACAAAAGTTGCTTGACTTGTTCAAGGTTTCTAAAAGATTGTCAAGTAAGGTTTTAATTGAGAATTCCATATATAATTTACTTAAATTGAGGCTCAAATAATATGCAAGATTACTTACCAATCTTTAATCCAAAGACAAGAAAATCCGGACTTTTGTATAGTTTTTTCAACCTTATTAAAGGCTTATAAATGTTTCCAAAGTTTTTATATTATCATCAAAAAATGGACTTTCAGTTTAGCCTATTTTTATTAACATTTCTCAACCTCCTCTCGTTTTACGTTGTATAACTCGAATAGAGTTTAAATGAGTTTCACGCACAAGTCGTGTAAACATCAACAAATTGCATTACATGACTAAAAGAAACATTAACAAAAGCAGCAACTACAAAATGAGAGCTATTCATTTCATTGCAGTGCAACTGATTGACATTCAATTACCGATCGTCCCTGCCTCGCCCTACCTCCCCCTTTTTCCCCCTCAGCATGTCATCATATAGTCTTTAGTCTTTAGTGTTGAGCGCTTTTCAATTCAACTGTCGCCGAAATATATAGTATATAGTCGAATTCACGGCTTTATCAAAAGACAATCAATTGATCGATTGTCGCAGCTGGGTCTCACATGATTCGGTGTGACCTTTGAACTTGAACAATGATATTGTTTTGTTTCCTTTTTTTTGGGTTAAACTTCACTTTACAATGTGCAAAGATTTGCTCTTCGTAGCTCTTGTGTTAAAGCTTCACACCTTTGAATCGAATCAAAAACTCACAAGATTAACTTATCTTCTCGCAGAGATTAGCTTCCAAGTATGAACTTGGTAGATAAACTGAAACCAAGAAAAAAAGCCCCCAAAAACAAGAATTGGTTAGCCAAGGTTAATGGAAATAATTTGAAGAACAAAACGAATATAATTTGTTCTAAAATGTATTACAAAAATCAAAGTAAAAATACATTTAAAAGCTGTTATAATTTCTTTAATGTTTAAATATCTTGTAAATAATATAAGACCCGTATTCTTAGCTAGAAACTCATAAAAACTAGAATAGTTTGTGAAGAAAAACACTGGTTTCCCTTCAAAACAAATATACAATAAAAATTGACAAACTTTGATTTAAATAAATATTTTCGTATTGCCAAAGCTGATTCATTTGTCGATTTCAACAAATGAAATTGCTTTAACAATTAGTTCCTGACTGCGATTCGGTTTATTGAACTTTTTCGCAGGGGTTGGCTCTATATCAGCTCATTCGAAATCAATTAGCGATCGATTGATAAGACTTTACAAAACTGAAATCAGTGATAAGAAATATATGTAGTGTTTGCGCTGCCATGAGCTATAGGAAATACTCTGAAAGGGGATTGTAAATCAAGAATACAACTCTAGACCGCCCAAAAGTATGCAAAGTCTTGGGAACCTTGGGCGAAGCTACCTGAGGTAATTCCACAAGCCCACCCCCTCCTGTACCCCTCCCACCTACTCACCTGTGGAGGGAATTTGGCCTCAATTTGCAGAAGCGCTTATCGTCCAAAGCGTTAAGTAAACTCAGGCGAACAAACAGGGGTACATGTGTAGTAAGGTTATCGCTGTGTGCGCGCGCGGTGCAAGTTTAAAAAGTTCCAATTACTCCAACAACACACACGTACACACACTGCAAGGCTTGAGCAGGTAGCAGGTGTCACACTACAGCAACAGGTTACAGTGGGGCAACTGTACGCAAAACCAAGTCGTTGTGGGAAAAAATAATTGAGTCAGAGACACGCCCATATTTAGAAAGTTTTATTGAATAATATGACTTGGCAGCATTGACGCACCATTTATATCATATATTTTATTTAAAAATTTTACAAAAGAAAAAAACTTATCACAATGGCGATGCAGATGTTTTATGAAGGAACACATTATCACAATGCAAATCTGATCAAGTTAATCAGAACAGTTAAGTAAATATACAAAGTAAACAATTGCTCATTAATAAGGCCATATTGACTGTATAATAACATACATTGTTAACGTATGACTGAAAAAAAATCCACTTAGGCACTTTTTAGATTTATTTGTATTTAACAGAAATTATTCATATAGAAAGGTTTTGCTCATCCTAATTAATATAAGCAAGCATTATTGGATCCTTTATGAGGTTATAATGTGTCATAAATTTAAACGCAATAAATTATTTTAATTTCAATTCATATTACTCATACGACACGAGTGACAATCAAACGTTTTTCTATGGTTGTAAAAATTTATTTCTTTCAAACAAATTTAAAAAAGATTGATTGACTATTTCACAGTCTAAAAGTTAAATCCAGTATTCGATAAAAAAAAAACCAACGGGGCGTATGAGCGATCAACTAAAAAATATTTTCATACATATTACTCATACGACACGCGTGACAATTTCAATTTTATAAAAGCGTTAATACTTGCGTAGAAAGTAATTTGTATTACTTAAGTATATTTATAAAAATATTTTTATTATTAAATCTTAAATACATATAAAAATAGCATACAATTTGCGCATTTGTTAAATATTGCAAAAGGAATCTCTATAACATTCAAAATTCAAGATAGCGTGAATGGTCATAAATTATTGAAAATTCGTGCAATTTCAATCTGATAATGTTGGGAACGCTTCGTGCCTCCTGACCCACAGTGCAGAGGCAAGAGACATAGAGAGAAAACGCGAGGTGCTCTCACCCAGGGAGAGAGGTAGAAATTGTCGCTTGGGTCTTACTCCCGCTGTTGGTAATCTATCATGTGCGATCGATCAATCGAGCACTCTTCCTCTCGCTCTCTCTCAGCCGCCCCACTTCCCCGACTCTCACAGCCGGGCTCCAACCGTGAAGATGAGTTAACAATGTGGGTGAGAGAGTGTCGGAGGGAGAGTAGAGCCAACGGTAGCTCCCCAATCAACTTGCTTTTATCACACACACAGCCGCAATCAGCGGCGGGAGAGCGGCCATCAGAGCGCGAGATACGATTTGTGGGGCTTGTGGAGCTTGTGGGGCAATTCACTTCATTTGCCGATAAAACGCCAAGCTGTCTCCACCAGCACACGCTGCTCTGCGCTCGCCGAGCCACAGAAAGGCAACAACACACAGAGTATCTGTATCTCACGAATGTCTGGATCGAGTCACACGCACCAAAGTCACATAAATTTTACTATTCCCTAACTTAGCCCAAACAGCAAATATCAAAATTAATCAAAGCATTGTTACAACACAACGCAACCGCGTTCGATTCTCTTCTTTTGGCGGAGAGACACACAAAAAGTCGGGTAAAGAAAGAGGAAGCAACTACAAAAAATGTGCCGCTGCTGTCAAAAGTGAGTAAACGTTTTTAATTTTTTTTTTTGTTTCGCCTCTCGCTTCTGTTGTTGTGGCTTTTGGTACAATTTTCCCAGGTTTTGCTGGCTCGTACAGCAAAATAACTTGGCTAACAATCCGAACTGCGTTTTTCCTTTATTTGCAGCTGTTGGGAAGATTTCTACTGGAACTGCTTTGAGGAGCGCTTCTGCTACGACGAATCGATTGGTAAGTAAAACTCGACTGCGTTTGTAGTTTTTGTTTTTTGCTGCTTTAATTGGTCAGTTGACGGTTACCTACCTACCTGTGAGTTGAGTACACACTCGACTCACTCAGGCACTGCCTCACACTTACTGCACACACTGGCAGGCACACGCACACAGGTGCATAGAGCTCCAGGCGTAGATCTTAAAACGCACAATGCGACGACGAATTTTTGCGCGATTTAACGTGTTCGGGTTTTGAAATGAGTACAAAACGAGAAGGAAAAGCAACAAAAACGAATGAATTTTATGGATTGTTTTTAAATATTCAACAGGCTTTTTTTACTAGTATGTGCATTCAAGAAAACAAAGCTACTATTTGTAAACTATTTTTGTTTAAGAGTTTGCACGTTTTAACCAACTTTGTTTTGTAATTTAAACGAAATGGGATGATAAATGATAATACAATATAAATAATTTAAAAACAAATGTTTTTGTTTAACATTAAATATTTGAAAAGATCTTTCACTATTTTAAGTTATTTAACTTAAAATGAAAAGATTTCACTGCTTAAATCCATATTATTTCAATCCCTTCACTCGTATTGGATATTGCTTCACATTAGTATCAATCTGTCACATAAACAAGTTTTTTGTTTGAAGTATTGTAGTATTTAATTTCAAACATAAACAATCGAAATTGCGCTGACATAATGGAAAATTCAGCTGAAAAGGTTATTTACAAAAAATGATTAATATGCTTTATTAGGGGAAAAAAAAAACAAAAGCAAGAAACTCATAGAATGAAATATTAAACCAAATTCGTGAATTTAAGGGTATTACATTTCGTTAAAAATTAAAATTAAGTTTATCAACTTAATAATTACTATTAATTTTAGTTACTTCCATTTTGTTTTTCTAAATTACCATTCTAAAAGTACATTATAAAATATTTATTAAATATATTCCTTCTGCATTGTCTACTTCAGCTAACTACAATCCAGAGGACGACGAGGACTATTTGGCCGCCCAGAAGAATGGCCAGATTATTGGACGCATACAGCCAGCCTCTGCGGATAATAATAATTCGCTTACGGTGCCGCAACCGATTTGCGATCAGCCCCAACTGAGGCAGGGAAACTCGAGCCTGGGCCTGAGCCTAATGAGGTACTAATTGATAAATCCAACTGAGAGATCCGACCAAAACGAGCCAAAGATTCCATTTCGCACTTTGTTTGGAAGACTGCCGATTAGCGATTAATTGGCAAGACGAGACATCGTGATGGCGGACTATTGGCTTTCTTAATTCACATTTATATGTTTGTATATCTCTTTCTTGTCTTTTTTCCCTTTCCATTAGCGCCAAGATCCATGAGGAGGACTATCGTCGTGAGACTCAGATCAATGTGCCTACATTGGGCCCAGAGATCTTGGCGGTGTTTGCCAACTCACAGATCTTCCAGGATCATCAGCCGACCAAGCTGAACCGCATCAGCACAAAGACCTACTTGGCTGGGATTCATTCGCCAAATCGCGAAATGCCGACCACGCCGCGTCTCAGCGACCAGGATCGCTTGCTGCGTCGTCTGGAAGGTAATGATGGCCCCAGTGGTGCGCACACCCCGCTTTTGGGTGGTGCTGGTAGTGGTAAAGCCAGCGGCAAGAGCACCCGCAGCAGCAGCATCGTCTCCAGCGGTGTGCCCAAGGTCAAGTTCTATCTGAGCTGAGCTGATCTGGGGTCTGTGATCTGGGTTTCGGGTTTTGAGTTCGATGGGTACTTGCAGTATTTGTGCCAAAGATTGAGGAACTCTCGCCAAGCATATACACAAATATGGAAACGAGAAAGAGAGAGACCAATTATCGCCAAAATGTGACTTAATATTATTAAACTTAAATTAGCTATAAGTGTTTCCGATATCGCACAGCCACAACGATATAAAATATTCGAAGGCAACAACAAGTTGCTGGTATTTAGTATTATCTAGACCTGTAAGTAGTCCTACTTAAGTTAACTTAAGCGTATTCCATTTAAGTCTTAATTGTTGGACCTTGTAAATTGTTTAGTCCTAACTAAGAACTAGTAAAACATTTCATAAAGTTTTTACAAAAAATATATATTATATATATTTGCATGGGTTTCACTTTAGCTTATATTTTACATAAACAAATACGATTATTATGGCTTGTTTATAGTGAGCAAATCTGTTTCAAAATCTGTAGAAAATTAGTTTTATCTCTCCGTTTTGTAGTTTTTGTGACTCATTTTTTGTCGGCGATTTAGCCAAGTAGAAGCGTGTGTACTTTGAACAAATGATTTGTTTTGTCAAGACGGCATTACTCAACAGCTTCGACTAATTGCCTCAATCTGGGATCGGTTAGACAAACTTGCACTTATTTAAAAGTTTTTAGAAAGAAATCACTAATGCTAAATAAACAAAAACTGAGCAGGAAAGATATTTCAATATAAAAATCTCACCACAGAATCATAGAAATCATAAAAACAAACAAAACTCAAAAACATAATGTTAAAAAAAAATACTTAAATACAAAAATTAAATATGATAATTTTTGAGGCTAACTTTGCAGAATTTTTCCGTAAACTTGATTCATCGCCGACTCGGAAACAGGGCGTCATTTCATTAACTCCATTAGCCACGCCAAAAACTCATTCATTTGAACCTTCAACAAGGAAGAACGGAAAAAGAACAAATCTGGATCTGAAGCTATATTTAATTAACAAGATTTTTTTGCACTGACGCAGACGCCCAGCACCCAGCACCCGACGACACCGGTTACATCTGGAGTTTAAGTACACATTTAACTGAATACACCTACGTCACTATTGCTTATCGGATCTAGAGGGAGATAAACCCCAAACAAATCCAATTGCAGATGATATTATTGTCGAATTATTTATCGTAATTTTCGCAAATTAGGCAATCAGATATACTCCACCTAGCCTATTCCATCAACTGAGCGAAACACCAAACCCAATTAGTCAAATTTCGATTTCCTTATCGGTACCACCGTATATACAAATGTTAACAACAAATAAACACCGATCGTATATGAATATTTATACGTACGTATATGTCGGCAAGTTTGGCCAAAATATGCATATGTACATATGTTTATTTTTTTCGTATAGATAAGAGGGTAGACGTGGTGGTAATCATCGGTTCCTTAGTTTTTCCAGAGCTGATAAAAATGCAAAGAAACCGTCAATGGGGCTTGATGTTTTTATATGTCTTTTTATATAATATTTAAACTTATTAATTTTCCTTAATATGTTTCTGATAAACCATGGGAAAGGAACCTTACATCAATCAAGAACTGAACAACAAAACACTCAATGTTCCTAAATTCCTTAAAAGTCGTGCTGTTTTTTGTTTTGCAAACTGTCTTTATTTAGACTATTTTTTTTTTGCTTGTATGATCATTGATTGTACATTTGTATGATATCGTGGCGACATTTAATTCATCACGTTTTATCGCTTCGCAAGTTGAGGTCTTGTGCACTGGGAGAAACGTTTATGGCCTAATTTGGGTGACTGGATATTTCCCGACCAGCGTCATATATATTGGTTGTTTCGTCAGAATGACTCCCGGATTGTAAAGCTGACGTCCGTAATCATTGGTTCTGGCGAAATCAAAAGTCAGCTGGAAGCGTTCCATTAGACGTGCCCACAAAGGCAAATCTCCCCTCTGTTTGCACATTTACAGCACTATTCATAATTATAGCATTTATTAGTTAAAAATAAAAATACAATTTCAACGAAATTATATCATCTTAAGATTGTATTTAAATTTGACTTTAATGCTATTATTATTAAAGCTTTAATTAATAAGGATTAATTATGGGTTTAATTAAAATAATTTTAGTTAATTTTAAATTTAACTTTAATAACTTACAAGGGAAAATACATTTATAGGTATTTAATTCCGTAATTACAAGAAATAAGTAATATCTTATCTTAAACAAAGTACCTCTTACCTAAGAAACACATTTCACAATTGACCACATATAAAAAATATTCTTAGCATCATAAATATTGACTGACATTAAACTGATTACGTTAATTTCTTTACTGATAAAGAAAACGTGCGGTTTTAATGGTTTGATGTTTGACTTTTAATGCATATCTCGCTGACTAAGGGGTTCGGCTAATAAATGATATTCTATTCTTAGAAGGAGAATAAACTATTATATACTTATTACTTAAATAAAACAGAAAAAAAAAAAAATAAATAAAGCTGGAATGGTTTAAAATGTCAGTTGTATCCTTAAGCTAAACTAGTTTAACTTATTTTTGCAAGTTACTGCAAAATTCGATTTAAAAAATATTTTTCCTTTAGCCTTGTTTGCGGCCAACATTTTATCTGCCCATATCTTACTATCTGTCATGGACTCAACCTTATCTTATTTGTCAACCTTTCATGCGATTTACTTGTCATCTGCTTGTCCACCTATTGTAGCGTGATTATTAAGGCCATGTCTATATTATTACCTCAAAAGAACATTCATATTAAAATAACTTTATAACAGAATCTTTTACTTAAATTTATACCTTTTTGTACTTATCTTAAATTTAAAATATTTTCCTTAAATTTTTTTACAGGAGATGCCATCGATTCAAAGACAGGATCGCCTGAGAAGCGAATCACATTCACTCTGGCCCCCAGTTCCCCCGAATGCTCGCCCTCGAGTAGCCAAACGATCCTCAGTCCCCAGAAGTTTGAAGCCATTGCCGAGGAGGAGAAGGAGGACGACAAGGCCGATGAGCAGGAGCAGGAGGAGGATGAAGCTGTGGCAGAGGTTGTGCTGCGACCACGCCTTATCGATCGACATCCCCATTTGTTGGCCAATCCGAGTGGCCTGACCACCACACCGAAACGTATCCTGCGATCCGCCAAGAGTGTCCCTCACATGAACGTCCGTTCCGTGGCCAGTGAGACTGACATATTCTCCATTAGCGGCACTGTGACCGGTAGCAGCCAGATCAGCATGACTCCAGAGGTCCCATCGATCTCGTTCAGCAATCTGCCGAAGAACTACGAGGACACGCCCACCATCGAGAAGTACCGAGTGTCCCAAAGTCTCTACTCCATCCAGACGGCGAATGCGGCGCGGGCCACTCAAGATGATTACTCAATGCCGCGCTATTTCCGTCGATCTGCCATGCTGATGACACAGAGTTCGGAGGTGCTGCCGGGTGCCACTTCGTTGGCCTCAATGTCGCCATCAATGGCCTCGTCATCCGCTTCTCCAGGCTCCTCCAAGGACGAGATTCGGCGACCGGAAAAGGAGAAGAGCAAGCGTCTCCAGAGGCTGCGTGGAAATCTGCCGCCCCTACTCATCCATTCCGTGTCCTTCAAGCGAAATCGCGACGAGGGCAAGCAGGTGGACTAGCTCACCTCCGAAATACCATAAATGTATCTAATTGTTAACTTCTTCGTATACACTTGAACTGTTTTAAATGTCTTAGTCTAAGCCCATGTGTCCACCCACTCAGTATTCGGTTGTACTTCATTTTGCGTTTATAATTGATATTCCAAACTAAATTTTACTTTTACCTAAATAAATTCCAATTAAAAAACGGAATTTTAAATGCTGTTTTCTTTTATGTAAAACGTAATGTGTAAAATGATTTCTAGGGTTTGTTCAAAAGTTAAAAAAAACAAAGACTCTATGGAACTCGAATAAAATAGATCAAATACTAAAAAACAGTAATGAAATATAAAAAAAAAAAAATATTATTCCTTCGAATCTCCCCGACGGGGAATTGAACCCCGGTCTCCCGCGTGACAGGCGGGGATACTAACCACTATACTATCGAGGATTTATGTTTAGGAGCGTCGAAATTGGTCATGCGCAGATGAGACTGGAAATCTTCCTTTTCATTCACTCATTCTAATCAAGCGCTAGTACAATAGGAATGAGTTTGGACTAAATATTAAATAAGCTGCTCTTTCTGAAATGAATATTTTGGCATCCCTGCTTCAACATCCTCGATAGTATAGTGGTTAGTATCCCCGCCTGTCACGCGGGAGACCGGGGTTCAATTCCCCGTCGGGGAGAATGTTATAATTTCTTTTTTTATTTCATTCGTTTTTATGTTAATTAACTTTTGCAGCAAAATTCCAATATATTTTTGAAATCGTTTAGTATACAAGCAATTTAGGGAAATATATGGGAATCTTCACAGAAAAAGTCCTAAGCGGCCCAAAAATTTAAAGTTGTTAAACATTTTTTGTTGTATATATATAGTTACAGTAGGAAGTATTCGAATTGATCAAACTTGACGAAATCTAGCCTGTTTTAAAAAGATATCGATGTATACGAATGCAATGAAGAGAAAATTCGATCTTTCATTATTATAATGATAAAAAGAACATGAAAAAAGAGCATGCTTTGTATTAATAATAACTTCTAAGCCAGTAACATTTATAATAACAAAAAACTTAAAAAAATATAATTAAATTCTTAATTACAGTTCTCAAAAGAAAATTACTTTATATTGAAGAGATGTGTTTATTACCCAGTTGTCAAGTAGATTTTTATAAAAATAATTATATTCATTTTTCTTGATTTTAATACAAAATCAAAAAAAATTGTAACATTCTCCCCGACGGGGAATTGAACCCCGGTCTCCCGCGTGACAGGCGGGGATACTAACCACTATACTATCGAGGATGTTGAATTAGGTTTGTCCAAATAGCCATTTCACCTTCCGTAGGTATCTGTAGTGTTCCAATTCCAAGCATTCCGATAGAATGTAAGAATAAAATAAATAAATACTAAATTACCCCTCCACTGTTAGAGAATATTAGAAATAATATTAAAATAATAGATTATAAGTTAAGCAGCAAACTTTATATACCAATAAACAATATAATAATAAAGTAAGAACGTAAGACAATGGAAAATACACCTATTTTCGCGTATTTAATTTTGAGCACAGGGGATGGTCACATCCTCGATAGTATAGTGGTTAGTATCCCCGCCTGTCACGCGGGAGACCGGGGTTCAATTCCCCGTCGGGGAGAGATGAAGTTTATTTTTATTTTACTTTTATTAAAATAATGTTAATTTCTTTATTTTGTATCTTTATTACTGATTACTGATCTGCTTAAGTTATTGAGCTATACAAATCTACGAGCTATTTAAATGCAACAATCTGCCACGGATGGGAAAATCATCTCCTTCTTCCGGCAAAAAACAGCATTATGAATGAAAAATTTGAATACAGCATTTTTCGTTTATTTCTATAAAATTTTAACGAAAGTGTTTTTTTTTTTGATTTTTTTTTTAAATTTTATTTATAATAAATATTCGGTTTAGGTATTTATTATTAGCTGGGATAGGATTTCTTTATTATTGTCGGTGCGGTCACACTAGTTTGGAATTAGGTTCGCATCCGTAAGATATATCCATAAGATATATCCGTAAGATACATCTCCAAGATAAAAGGTGTAAAATACTGGATAATTTACGAAAATCTTACAAAAAATAAGCTTAAGCAAGAATAATAATGTGTGTGGTGTGTGTGTGTATGGCTGCGCTCATAAAAAATATACTTTGTAAATTATAAATAAACCAATACATATAAACCGCCGGCAAAAACAGAGAGCGACAAGAGAGTGCAAAGTGCATAGAGTTGCCAGGTGTTCGTTGGGTATAATACTCAAAAGCGGGAAAATAGCTAAAAAAATAGCTTGAGACTCAAAAGTCTGGCAAGGCATTAACAAATTTGCCACAGATTCGGAACGACGGAAACGAGTTTTAACATTCGCGAGAGCAACTTTGGAGCGAACAAAGAAAGAGTGGGAGAAAGTAAGAGAGAGAGAGAGAGAGAGAGAGAGGAAAATTAGTTTCACACTAGCCAACAAAAATCTATAAAGGCACCCCAAATTTTCCTCTTGCTTAATATTAATTAAATGAATACTAACTATAAATGAATACTAAAAAATATAAAAAAAAATTCAAGAAATTAAAGAAAATTAAAGTTGATTTTTAAAAATTTAATTAAATAGTGTTGCATTGCCGACTTTCCTGAAATAAAGATGAATACCATAGCTAAAGCATTTGAAAAATATATATTTATATTTAGAGTGCGAACTAATCTCTTTGAATTTTGTAACAAAAGCTTAAAATAATTTCGCACTAAATTGGGAACCGTTTGTTGAAGGTTTTCGATTAAAAAATATATGGATAGTATATTTATTTGAATTGCGCGGCATAGCAGAGAGCAGGCTCTGCCGTGGTGAGTGGTGGTTGAAATTCAGTATTCGTATCTGTATCTTCGTATCCGTATCTTCGTATTCGTATTCATATTCATTCAGTGTTCAGTTTGAGTAGCGAATCGGACGTTCTGTGCTGCGTTGACTAAAATGGACAAAACTCGTCTGTCCCGATCGATTTAATATTTTATACTTAAAATTAAAAAAAAAAAAACACAAAAAATTATTTTTTTTAAATCAGAAAAAAGTGACTTCGTCCGCTTTCCATTAAACAAAAAAGCAACACTTTTCGGTTGAACCGCCGGGATAAATATCACAAAATGATGTTTAATTTATAGTAAAAAAATATTGTTTTCGTGATATTTTGCTGTGGCCGTTATTTTGCCAATCCGGTGGTCGGTCTCGAAAAAAAACAATTATTGTTCAATACAATTGTTGTTCGGGTTGATAAACAAATAAAAAAAACGTTATTTCTGGTCGCGCAATTGTGGTTTCAGAGGAATCTTATTGTGTACTTTAATTAATTATTGGGTAATTGCCCAATTTGACACAGTAAAATGTGCAATTCAGTGTTAGTGTGAGTGTTTAAACATGTGTGTAACAATAATAAATAAAGGCCGCAAATTGGTCAAATATGCAATAAGCCAACAAAACAAATAAAAAAAAAAAAAAAAAATCAAAGAAAAAAAGAAATAAAAAAAAAGAAATGTTAAAGTTTAAGCCGCAACAACAAAAGAAAAACCTAAAAAAAATTATAAAGATTCGGCAGTTTTTCCAGATATTTTTCATTGATTTTTCGGCAGCCTGCGGGGGAGCGAGAGAGAAGAGAGGGCGGGCGGGAGAGAGCAGAGAGCGCGGCTTTTGTCTTCTGTTTTGTGTATGTTTTGGAAATGGAACGGCGCTCCTTGTTCTCTCTCTCACGTTCTCGAATGTCCTTTTTGTATTTTGTTTATTTCTCTATTTTCCTGGCCACGTTTTGTGCTCACCATTCGTTTCGCTGCATTTCATTCTCGCGGCGTTTCAAATTGGCCACACACAAAGCAGAGAGAGAGAGAGACTGGGAAAGAGAGAGCCACCTCGCACTCACTAACCCCCCGCAGAATGTTTTCTGGCTCTGCCTCATGTCCCCCATTCGCATCTCTCTGCTCGTTATCCTTTGTCCGCTGCGCGTTGCCAACCAGTCGAAGAGAGAAATTTCTGTTGTCATAATAAAGGATATTGTACAAAATAAAACTAGCACAGAAATTATACATATATTTACAAGTTTTTGTTAGTTACAAAACTATATACGATAAGAACGTGGTTTCAGAAAAAAAAATTTAGTATTTTGGTTTAATTTTGTGTAATTCCATTCAATGTTAATTTAATTGTACGCAATAGTTACACGCAAAAACATTTCTTAAAACGAAATTGTTCGACAAATTCTTTTGCATCTTCATTGAATTGAGAAATCCTTTAAATCTCTAGCTTTGGAATTATCCTTGCGGCTTAAACTTTTTCTTTATCTTATACTTTCGGCTTAAACTTTTTCTTGAAATAATCCCATGCTAATCCAGTGTCCTTCCATTTACCTTCACAGTTTTTGAAGCAGACACAAAAGTGAAAGAATAATAATTTGTGAAAAGCCAGGAAACCAAGTGAAAATATGCACTGAGGGAAAAGCTGAAGACGTGGACGCATCGCATCCATAGCATACTTACCGCATAATAGTCGGCAACGCCAAGAATTTTGTTCGATCCGATAACGGATTACCGTAATCGCCGCTGTCGCGTTAATTCCGACTTCTTCGCCGCTCCGCCCCGCCCCGCCCCGAATCCGGACTCCCGTTTATCCGTCTGTCCGCGTGTGTGTGTACTTCCGTTCGCGTTCGTGTGTGTGTGTGTGTTGTTAGTCTGTCTCTCTCTGTACATATGTACAATATTTGTCGTCGTCGTCGTACATCGTTGTTGTTGTTGTTGCTGTTATCTTGCATTCATCTGCGCCTAAAGTAAATATAAAAAATTTGTGTTCTTCGGTGTTGTCTCGTGTAAGTGTCTATAGTTTGTTTAAGTACGACAAGCGATCGGTGAGAATAAAAAAGAGAAAAATTATCCCAGAAATTAGCTGTGTGTGTGTGTGTGGTGTATGCGGGCTAATCGATAATATCGCTATCAACAACAACAGACAACAACATCAAGCAATCAATCAACGTCAGCGAAGAACTGAGAGAGAAACCAATAAATAAGTTCGTAATCTTCAGAGGTCACTTCACCTTATTTTCGTCACCTACGTGGGCATCGATCTACAGTGAATCAAAGGGAATTCAGCTGAAAACTACCATCTTTCAGTCTCGGAAGTTATTTGACATGGTGAGTTTTCAAAACTTATTTTAAAATATCGCAATTTATCCTTAAGATCGGGCTTGACAGCTGTAAAAACTTAATATATATCTATGTTTCCCATGGTTTGTTAAATTTGTTAAATACTTATGTGAACAATTATAACTAAAAAACCACTATTCATGAGGATCAACATGAAATTTAAACGGATCCAAACTTCCAAATGTGTTTTAATATTTACGTTTTTCTTTAATGAAGGCAAACATAAAGGTTCATAATCAAAAACACAAATTAAGACACTTAGCACCCACTGCACGAGACACATTCGAGGATTGGAAATTTCGTAGGTGACGCTTACAATATTTTCGATAATAGGAGGCCTTCTCCCTGGACATGCCAGGAAATCTATATTTGGTGCACGTTTTGCCCTTTCCGATGTCCTTTTGGAATCCAGATGAGCCGATTTCGGAAGAGGAACTATTTTCGCTTTGGATTTGCCCAAGCCACACACGACTTCATAAGTGCGAGTAGAACGGGCATACAGTTGACTCATTAGGACAGACCGAAAATGAGAGAAATGCATTTTGCAGACGAAGACCCAAACACACACACACAAACAGATACACTCGCCCAGCAGGAGATATCCGAGGACAGACACAGATACAAAACAGAGCAATTTCCATTTGAAATGTAAACAAAGCATGCTGATAGCCGCACAGTGGAACAGATGATAGGGCAATCGGAGTAACAAAAGGCGAACAGGAGGCCACTTAAGATGTGACTTCACTCAGGACCGCACAACATACACAAAGTAAAATAAAAGATAAGGATTCAAATTGAATCCTAATTTGAGAACAAGACAAGAGCAACAAAAACAGTTTTTAGTTGGCCAAAACTGTGGTGGAAAATATCTATGGATATCTGATTTAAGTATCAAGATTATTTCTTTGTAAGAAACCGCGTGGCAATCCAATAAAGCTAGGTTTCTTCATCTGGTTTTAGATGAATGAGGTAGATAGATTACTGATTTTCCAGTTGTAATCTCCTATTTTTTGTATTTTCCGCCTTTCTTTCCACTCCTATTCCCATTGTTATCGCTGCGTGATATATTTTCAATCTCAGGCATGGTCATCGTCATCTCTTTTGATGGGTTTAGTCCGTTAATCGCTTGGATTTTCAAACATTTAACAGATAGACCGAATACACTAATCCGCTGCGATTAGCCTAATGGTTTCATTTTCAGTTTTATTCTAACCAATTTGTAGTTTTTTATGAAAGCTATAATGGAGATTAAATTACATTAGTTTCATAGATAAAAGTCTGAATAAAATTAAATTTTTGTTTTCTTTATATAATCACTTCTGATCTCCAGTAACTTCTTGATATTCCCATGGTGCAATTCCTGTTTGGGTTTCGACTGTGGTTAAGCCCAGCCCGGGACTTTTGCCTTAAAGCCTCCTTCTTTCACTCCCAGCTAATGCAGTATCTAAGCTATGTATCTAAGTATAACCAAAGAAGCCCGTATGTTTTGTATTATGTTACACAAATATTTAAGCTGCCTTAAGTAGATACAACGAAACGCGTTTAAGGTACACAAATATAGAAAGAAAGACCCAAGGAAAAGCGCAACAACAACAGCAACAATGGCATCGCCTCGGAAGGAAAAGTTACATTTAAGTCGAATGTGCGGGTGGTGTTGAGCTCAGTGGGAGGTGGAAGTCCAAATCGAAAACTAGAAAAGCCAAAGTCGTGCTGTAAGTTATCACTACCCATGATATTGGATGAACGGACCAGCATGTAGATCGATTAACAGGCAAAAGGCATACATTGAGCTGCTGCCACCCAAAAAAAAAAAGGTCACAAAAACTAAAAAAATGTGAAAACAATTGCAATTTCAGTTGGTGCAATGCCAAAAAAAGCATATATATAGAAACCATAAATTTAATTTATCAAAATGTTTTGCAGAGCCATTAATAAACGCATATTTAATTTTTTTTTTATTAATATTTATTTATTGAAAAATAAAATAAAGTTTTTTTTAAAGAATATATATAAGTATTGACTGAAGAGCCTTAGGATTTTTTTTTGCGATACACTGTTAGGACCTGTCTTAATTTTTTTTTTTTTTTTTATTAATATATATATTTTTATATTAATGCAGAAAAAGCATATCATGACTGACTGCCTGTGCACTGTTGATATTTTTCCTCTCTGCTAACTGGTTTGTTGGGTATTTTGTTGGCTCATTCTAGTCTCCTTTTTTTTTTTTGCCATGTTTGCTATTTGTATAAGTTGTCTGGCGATGCTCTGCTTTTTGCTGTTGTCTGTCGATACTTTTTTGTGCTTGGTTTGTTATCCATTGATACGCATATCGTTTGCCATTTGCCCCCACCCTGAACCAATTCTATTCAATTTCTACGATTTCATCTTGGCCAGACTGTAAGTTGGCAGTAGCAGCAGGCAGGGCAACAAAATGGAAGTTGGCTTCCCCAAGATACTTTTTCTAGTTTATCCAACACCCCACCACACACCAAATCCTCATTCTTATGCTAATAAATTTTAATAAATTCATGAATTATTTTACAGCCTAAATCCCGCTCGCTTGTTTTCTATTTGTGCACTGTGAAAATAACTTTAAACATTAATAAATAAATAAAATGTAAACTGAGAGCTAAGAATATATTTAAAGTAATAAAACACAACTGGAAAGTATTAAGGATATTTTTTAAATTTGTTTTTTCAAGAAAATGTCTTGATATGATTGACATATTGGAAACTTCTGTCACAAAACAACTGAAAATTATCTTTTAAACACCTTTAATTGTAACTAAAGAAAACAATATTTCTTTCTGTGCTTATGGGCATTGCATGCTTTTTTTTTATCATGCTGCCTCTGTAATCTGAATAATTTGCTGTGCAGTTTCAGTTACTTTTACCAGAATTTATTGCACAGAAAATCCTAGAAATAACCATGGACGCTCTAGGTTGTTTTATACTAGTCAGGATGCACGAGGTCTCTATATAGCTTTATTTGTTTGTTTTTAGAATCAAAATTGATACATAAACACATTTACCTTATAACCATATAACAATCAATAATATTTCCCAAGCCACAAATCAGTGAAACATTAAATTAATTTGTAATTTAATTAAATTTCCAGTAGAAAATATCAAGCTATCTATAGCAGTTTAATCTGCAAACAAACTTACTTAATTAAAAAAGTAAGTTACATAGAAAGGACACGTGTGCAGATAAACGCCCAAGGACTATATCGATTATGCCAAGGTTATAAAAATCGTGACATATACCATTTATTTGATTATCATCATTCTTCTATGTCAACTTCGCTAATATAAAATACGGCGCAAACAAAATAAAACGAATTTTGGGTAAACAACAAAGCAGAACAAACATCAATAAATTTGAAGAGCAGAAAAAAAAAAACGGCAACGTAAAGGTATACAAAGAAAATTAATAAAATATTCGTCACCTGCCGTGTTGACCAAATTAAGCCCGCAAGTGGCTGACTGACCAAAAATGATTGATTTTATGACGCTATCATTGACACTCCGGGACCGTTTCCCGCTTAGATGTTGATAAACTTGGAGTATTGGCAGGGCAAATGGATTTGGTTTAATTAAAATGAATTATGAAGAAAAACTTAAGTTATTTTTATATTTGAGAAGAGATTTCTTTTTGTATATACAATTTAAGTTTGATAATTTTTATTTCCCGAAGTAATATTATTTTTTATATTTGACGCGACTTTGATTTGCTCTTGATTTGCTTATTGTTTATTCTGGCCAAAAAAAATCAAATAATTAAGTACCAAAAACGAAACAATAAGGGCTACAATCATGAAACACAATTATTAATTGTTGTGTGTCATTTAAAGATAAAGCATTCATCTGTATGTACTGATTAAAAGTTTAGTTTTCCGCCCGTATAAAAAAATATGATAATCAACAATGTGTTGAGCGCGGGACAATGAAATTGCAATCCCAGTTTTCACATAAAATAAAAAATTACTCACACAATAATAACATTGAAAATGTGATTAAGTTTTTAATTAAATTATAATTAAAATTTTTTGCATTAAATAGCTTTTCCCTTTTGGCCCTAATTCCCTCAATCTCCTGCCGTTAACCTTTTTGGTTAGCCCAGTCGCGTGTGAAAAGTTAATTGAACAAGTGAGCAAACAACAAAAGGAGTGGCTACAGTTTTTTCTAGAGCTTAATTTTCTATAAACTTATTTAATTTGATCATTTCCCTCACTTACTACAATTAATACAAAAATATACTGTTACTGCAGTTTAGAAAAACGTAAATAAAGTGAGTTTATAAATAAATAAACCAAACGAATTCATTACTGAGGTTCATAAAAGTCTAAACTAAATCTGATAACTCTTTCATTAAATTGTATAAAATTTACATACATGTTTTTATAATTTATTTAAATGGTTTGAATTTCCAATTAAACTCAATAACATAGAAACAAAAATAAATTCAATTGACAAATTACATGGGCATGGTGAGGGAAGCCCTGTGGATTGCAATCCCTAATGCTATAGGGCACAGTGGACACCACATCAATTTGTTCATGCGTTTGTTAATTTAATTTTTCCTGGGTCCCTTTTTGCCGGTACATATTTGTATTTTATTTAATTATTTATTGATTTTTACATGGCTTAAATGGTGCTCTAATTAAAACCATGTTTATATGTACGTATATGCATTTTACTTTATTATTTATGTGCATACTCTATATTTAATTATAAAATTTTTAATTAAAATATAAAACAACTTAGAGAATTGCACAATGTATGCATATAAGTTTTCACTTTTTCTTCCAAATCATGAATTTATTGATCACAGAAAAAACATTGTTTAACAATTTCTCATTAAAATTCTTTGTTTTTATTCCTCGGAATTTTTAAAGTAAAGAATTTAGTTATTATGAAAAATGGCAAAAATGCATACAAACAAGTATACATTTTCCATGAGAAGAAAAACTGAAATAGTGAAAAAC